GAGATTCTGAGATTCTGATATTCTGAGATTCTGAGATTCTGATATTCTGAGATTCTGAAACTCAAAAACTCGGATTGCCAAAAGTGAAAAAATTCTGATAAATTAGTAATCTAGGTTTTAAAATTTAGAAGTTCAATAAATCTGAAAATCTGTCAATTCGAGTTTCCAATTCGGAAATCGAAAAATCCATAATTATTTGAAATAAAACCCTTCAGATCTTTCAATTCTTTGCATTTTTGTCGACCGGAAATGCCTAAAGTTCAGCCAAAAAAGTGAGGATATTTTCTGAAAATATCTTATTACGCACTTCCTGTCTTATGACACTTCCCCTTTCCGAATAACGTTCGTATGTTAATCCGGTTATTCATTTTCAGCTATTTTCAGATATTTTCAAATATTTTTAGATATTCCAATTCCCATAAAACCCAAGATTCTAAGACTCTATGTAGATTAACCTTAATCTAGTCCACTCTTTTAAAATTGTACTTTTTTTCATTTTCAGCCAATTTCCAGATTTTCGGAACCCCGATATTTAGATTTCTAGGTTTTCAACTTCTCAAAACCGCAGATACCCTGAAACTTTCTATGACATAGAAATACAAACAGAAAAAAAAACTGATTTTCTGAAATCCAAAATGTTTTAATTTGTCGAATTCTGGACAATTTTGAAAAACTTCCTTCCTTATTTTCCCAAATTCACTTATATCCCTTTTGCAACAAATTGACAAAAAAGTCCGTGAAAATTCTCAAAAAAAAGAAGATTCTCGAACGGAAACAAGTTCTCTTCCTGTCCCTTTTGCAAACAATCCAAGAAACTACTCTTTTTGATTTTTCTGTTACAAATTTTGACTCGTTTTTTTTCTTTCGAACAAAACTCTCCTTTTTTCTTTTTCTTCTTTTTCAAAAATGCTCATTTTTCTGGTGTTTGAATCCTTCGAGGAGGTCTCCATGACTTTTTCTCATCTACCGGAAAAAGCGTATACGTTTTTTGTGAAACATTAAAAATTGGTTTTTGAAGAATATCCGGTGTGTTTTGAACGGAGACTTGAGATTTTAATTTTTGGGATTCTGAGATTTTGCAGTTTTGAAATTTGAAAAATTGAGGTTCTGAGATTCCGAAAGTTTGAAAAATGCAGGTTCTCAAAATCTGAATATCAAGATTCGGAAAATCTGAGATTCTGCGATTTTGTGATTCTGAGATTCTAAGATTCTAAGATTCTGAGATTCTGAGATTTTGATATTTTGAGATTTTGAGATTCTGAGATTCTGAGATTCTGAGATTCTGAGATTTTGAGATTTTGAGATTTTGAGATTCTGAGATTCTAAGATTCTAAGATTCTGAGATTTTGAGATTTTGAGTTTCTGAAATACTGAGATTTTAAGATCCAATTATTCTGAGATTCTTCGATTCTGATATTCCGAGATTCTGAGATTCTGAAAAATTTTTTTATTAAATTTTTTCGAGTTTTTCTTTCTTGGAATTTCAAAATAATATTCGAAGTTTTCCAAGAAAATGGTAGAAAAGACCAAAAAAGGGCAGTTTTTTTGTTCAAAAAATAAAGATATTCAATTTCCAGATATCTAGAATTTCAGTTTTTTTGGTGTATTTTCATAAAATTTCTTTTGAAAATTAGGAATATTATTTCAAAATTTTTGCAAAAATTGAAATTGTTAGTTTTTCTATAGACTATAGTATTGGTTAATTTGATTTTCTTAGCTTTTGGGATTTTCAAATTTTTTTCAATTTTTTTTTGGAACAAAAATCAGGAATTCAAAAAATCCCAATTCAGAGCTTCCGGAACTCTGTAAATTCCAGATCCAGAAAATTCTATTTTCAGTCTTTTTCCAGCTATTTTCAGCAAATCTTTCCCAAAAAATGACTTCATAATCCTCAAAAATTCCGTCAACTTATTACAAAAAATAAAAATATAATAAACATAGATATCTGTCAAAGAATCCATCTATTTTTGATTATTTTTTGTCAAATACGTAGACAAAAAAGTCCATGTCCTCATCCAAAAAAAAGAAAGTTCAGACTTTTTTTCTATTTTAAGAACCCCTTCTATGATGTCAGAGAACCTATCAGGAAGTCTATTTTTTTCCTTTTCTCGGCTTGTTTTTTTTCCTAGAAAAATTATTCTTTTTGTAAGGTAGACTTTTTAATCTTTATTTGCCTGAAAGTTTCAGAAAAACCCTTTTTGTTTAATCTGAGATTTTCAGATTGTTAATCTGAGACTTCAACATATGACTGAAAATTTTAGAAAAGTATTAAAAAACCCCTTTTTTAGGATTTTCAGATTTTTCCAAACAATTTCTGTTCCTTGTTTTGGGATTTTTTTCAAAGATCTATTTTTTGGAAGTCTAAATAATTGCTTATGGATAATCAGGAAATGAATGGAGATGTATTTTTGGGGGGTCTACATGAAACAAAAATATTTTTTTTTTAGTTTGAATAGAATTTTCTATTTGGACGGATTCCTTTGAATAATAACGTCTTTGTTTTGGAATTGAAAGGGTATACGGTAGTTTTGGAAATTCTAGAATTCTGAAATGATGAAACCCTGAAATCTTATGATTCTCAGATTCTGAGATTCCGATTTTTGGAAACTCCTGGATTCCAGGATATCTTCAACTCAAAAAACTTAAAATTTGAATATTTTGACTTTGAGATTCTGAAGCCCGAAAATTCTGAAATTCTGAAACATTGAAACTCTGAAACTCTAAAACTCTGAAAATCAGAAATTCAGAATTTCGGAGATTCAGAAACTCAGAAAGTTTTTAATTTGAAGATTCTGAATTTTTAGGAATCTGAAATTTTAAAAGGATGAGATTCTGACATTCTGATATTCTAGTTTTCACTATAGAATTTTAAAAAATTCGAAAAACATAGAGTTCAGAACACAAAATTCTCCAGATTCAGAATTCCCGAATTCTCTTCTTCCCTGTCCCTCTCATTTTTTATTAGGCCATCCTGCAATTAGTTCCTTCTTTGTTTTTTTGTGCAGTGCATTTTTATTGCTCATCCTTAACGCCTTCCTAGGTGTCCGATTACAAAAAAAAATAGTATAAGTCATTTTATGTGTTTGTTTCTTCTTATAAAAATGAGTACATGTCTAGTATAATGACGCAAATTCAGAAATTCGATCATCCAATATTAGTCATAGAAATAAGGACTTCTCGTAGACTAGAGAGCTATATTTTGTAGTCAGAAAACAATTAGAAAACCGAAAATTATGAATATTTTCTTCAAATTAGGTATATTTCACCCAAAATTTTGGTCAAACCAACAATTATCAAGTCTAGACATTTTTCTGATATTTTTTTTTCCAGACGTCATCGGTTTTTTGTTCCTAGAAAATGATTTTTTCTAATCTAATCTTTACCGAATTTTTTGACACTAGGTTTTTGTTTTTCACCCTGTTCTTTGGCTATTTTTACTCTGAAATTTGGAAATTCGGAAATCCTGAAATCCGACAAAATTTGATATTCTGAAAACCTGGAATTTCCGAAAATCCGAACCTACCTTACAATATTAGAGTCTAAGAATCTTTGTTTTTTTTTTCAAAATCTCAGAATCTCAGAATTTCACAGTCTCTGAATCTCTGAATCTCTGAACCTCAGAATCTCAAAATCTCAGTATCTCAGGATCTCAGAATCTCGAAATTTCAGAATCTTGAAAATCTTGAATTCTGGAATCCTAAAATTCTGAAATCTTGGAATTCTGGAATCCTAAAATTCTGAAATCTTGGAATTCTGGAATCCTAAAATTCTGAAATCTTGGAATTCTGGAAACCTGGAAATTCTAAAAATCCTAATATTCTTGTTAAAATCTCAGAATCGCAGAATCGCAGAGTCTTAGAATCTCAGAATCGCAGAGTCTTAGAATCTCAGAACTTCAGATTTTCAGAACATTTGAATCTCGGAATCTCAGAATCCTAGAATCTTAAAATCTTGTGATTCCAGAATCCTGGAATCTGATCTTCCAGAATTTATGAACTAGACTCAAAAAATCCCTGACTCCAACTTCCTGTACTACTAAAATAATTCTCCATTTCCTTCCGCTCCAAAATCTTCCGAGTGTTTGTTTAAACCTTCAACGTACTCTTCCAATTTCTATAAATATCGCTTTCTTCCATTTTTCTTCCTTCATTTTTTAGTCAGAGCTCCCCCCAAAAATCTTCCCAAAAGCCTTGGGGGTAAAATAGTTTTATTTCTCCAAAAACTAAACTTTTTAGTAACAACGAAACGGAAGGAAATTCAGAAGACACCATACAACTACTATTCTATCTTTTTTTGATTCACTAATTCTATGTTTTTTTGTAAAGTGACGTTCCAAATCTTGTATAATCCTAAATCCCGCCCATCTCGTTTTGTTCCAGATCTTTAATTCAATATGGTGATACTATTCTGGTCTCTAAAAACTCTAAAAACTCTACTTTTTTATTCTTTGTGCTTTACAAACTCGCAAAAAGAGATTTGGACCCCTTGTGGTTCGAACCTGGCACCTCGTGGGTGAAGGGCAAATGCGTTAGCCAATACACCAAGCGGCACACTCAACCTGTATTGATAGAAAGGCATAGATAACAGAGGCGCGTTCTGTAGCTTTTTAGGAACGCGTTGCTTCATGTTATTAATTCAAAATTTTCAAAATAGACTCCGCCCCTTTTCCCCTATAAGCCCTTATAAGAACCTCTACCTGAGACCCCAAACCGGAAGCCAAAACAAACATTGGCATCACTTTTTTCCCCGAAAAATTGAGAGAAACGTGATTTCTGGTGTATTCTCTTGTATAGTCATGGGATATGTAGACGTTTCTTGGTGTCCCTTCCACAAAAAATGTCTATATAATTATGTGGTATGTGCAAACGATACTAACTTAATTAGGCACAAAAGAATCTACACGAAAGATACGCGAACCACCCAGTTGGTTCCCAATTTCGTTTCCTCATCGTCTTCCTTGTCTTCCAAAAATCTCAACTTTCACTTTTTTTTCAGAATCAATGTCGGCTCGTGATCGTTCGGGATCCATATCGCTGTCGCCACGCAACATCATTCCAGTTTGCTCGCAGTTGTCGCCGTCGCAGGTCTCCGTCATCCGTAGATCATGGAGACACATTAACACCAAAGGACTCATCACTGTTCTGACTCGTTGCTTCTCAAGAGTGAGTTTGTAATAAAAAACAAAAAAGATTTAGCCCCATCGTTGGGGGTCGGGGTTTAAACCCGTGTGGTGAGATTGACAGGCAAAAGCGTTAGCCATTGAGCTATGCGGCACTCGATGGTAAAGGGTGAGAGGGTCCGTATAAGAGTGGCCTCCACATGGAGAGCGGCTGAGCGAGCGAAAAGGTGAAGCGCACCAACTGTAAACACATTGATAGGGTTCAACACCAACCGTCAACTTTGAGCCAACTTATCTTGATTTCTGTAAAAGATATTGAAAAGCAGTCAACTGACAAAATTTTTTAGGTTTTATGATAAAAATTTTGTCAGTTGACCACTTTTTGATATCTTTAACCGAGATAAATGGTCTCGAAGTTGACTGGTTGGTTGGCATTCTATTAGAGTGTTTAGGGCATGTAGAACTACATTTTTGAATTAAACGAAATCTGGAAAGGTTAAAAATATTACAATTTCTAGATTCTTTTCATATTTTTCGTCTGACTAACTGCTCTGTTTTGATTGAGCTCTTTTTTCTTTTGAAGCTGATCTAGTATTAGGAATGAAAGCTGTAAGTCTAGCCAAAAGAAAGAGGATTTCCCAAGCTGAAACCCTTTGTAATTTCAACACCAAGGCTTTTTGGGGCGATAAAACCCTGTGGGCGAAAAAATCCGATTTCCCTAAAAACAATGATATCACTCTTATCATCATTTTCAGCTCGAATCCAACTGTCCAATTGCGTCCCAATGCTTCCAATCGGCCACCTATTCCCTCTCAACCAACCCATGTGGAGTTCGTACCGTCGCTGATCATGCCAAGTATCTCTTGCAGCTTCTCGACAAAATCATCGAGGGAGACGTGGTGAGTTCTAGTTTTAACTTTGAGCTCAATTATCTCGATTCCTGTGAAAGATAGTAAAAGTTTGTCAACTAATAAAATTTTGGTGATATTATGATAAACATTTTGTTAGTTGACAACTTTTTCATATCTTAGATAAGAGTCGAGATAATTGAGCTCAGAGTTGATGGGTTCAGTGGGGTTCTATCAGAGGAACTACGGTAGGTTATGCGCATCTGGGAAGCCAGTTCGAGCCCCCGCTGGTTCGATTCTTGGGTGGACCAAACTTTTTTGTTTTTTTGTGTAGATCATCCTTGATGATTCCAGGACTCGGAATTCCTGCGCGAAATTGGCGCCAATCACGTCGGACTCCAACGCGATACAGGCTTCAGCAGTCTCGAGTGGGATCGATTCCAGGAAATCATGGTCGAGGTAATTCTGAAGCAAGACGGTGTCAAACAGAGCAAAGAGGCCACTCGTGCATGGCGATTGCTCATCTGCTCGTTCATCGAGCTCATCCGCGACGGTTTCGACGCGCAAGTCCGTCAATTTCGACGAAAACACTCGTTCAACGCACACGTTCAGTACTTTGAGAACATTGAGAAGTGAGTGGGAATTTACGAGGACGTTTGGGATTTTTTAACGAATCTTCTAGTTTCAGGCGCGTCGGTGTTTGCCCAAATCGCAAAATCTCACTCAACGTCGATCCGCGGACACCACAAAACGGCGTTCGCAAGTATTCCCAATACTGAGCAATCATTCGTTTCGAGACTCAATTTTATATCCAGTCTGTGATTTATTTTTCTCCGATTTTTCTCCGATATCTTTTCCTGACAAACTTTAAACTATTTGGTCCTTTCATGCTATGATCTCTCGCATGTCATCTCATATATTTGGCCTATATAATTCATTTTGATTTATTCCCAAAAAAATCTCAAAACTCTTCTTTGTGTGAAACATCATCTTTGAAATCACCTTCCCGAATAAAATCTATTTGGCACTCGTTCTCTCTCTCTGTTTGCGTCTCTTTCGATTTCCCTCACATTTATATACGACACTCTCTTCCTTCTCCACTGCTTGTCCGCGTGGCCGCAAGGTAAACAACTATGTTAGCACGCCGGCGCTCGCTGGTTCGATTCCCCAGTAGCACTCATATTTCGCGCCGCCCGTTTTGCAATGACGACGTGGCTAGAGTGAAGTGCAATAATGACTCGCCCTGGCGTTGCAGACCACAGATTGAAAATGGTTCGCGTTTATAGGGGTGTTACAATTGGTTGTTTTTTGTTTTTACTAATTGTAAAACCTGGGCGTCACTTCCTCTTTGGAACCACTCATTTCGAAACTACAGGCGAATTGATAAACTTCCGACTACAAAAACAATTTTAGGGTTTCCAAATATGCGTTCACTGATAGAACACATTCTGAAAATCGAATAAATCCAAAGTTTAATGTTCTCAGAAAAAGAAAAGTTCCAGAATTTTCGATTTTCAGAATGTGTTCTATCAGTAAAGGCATTTTGAAAACCCTAAAATTATTTTTGTAGTCTGAAATTTTTCGGTTGTATTAGTACAATTTCGAAATGACTGATAGAATGGCCCCACGCACTGTAAAGTTTGATCTCGATTAGCTCAATTGTCATGCAAGATATCAAAAATGTATCAACTAGTAAAATGTTTATGATATTACGCTAAACAGTTTATCAGTTGACAGCTTTTTCATATCTTTTACAGGAACCGAGATAAATTGGCTCAATGTTGGGGCCCTTATATTACAGGTTTTACGGTATGTATACTGGAAAGAGTGATGTTTTCGGTGTTTAAAAAGGAACGAGTTGTTCATTACAAAACAAGGAAGAATAAAAGTTCAATTCTCAAAGCTTCTCTTTGCCAGTTCTTCCACGAATCAAATTCTCTGTCTCATCCCATGCCTTCTGGTCCATTTCATGCAAAAACTCTCCCATATGAGAACCATGATGCATATGCTGTTGTCCTCCATCCAAATCAATAATCACTCCATTCAAAAACGACATATGATCCGACGAAACAAATGCGACAAGATTCGCAACTTCTTCCGGAGTTCCACTTCTTCCAGCTGGATTTCTAGTACGAATCAAATCCTCTGCATCGCCCATCTCTCCAGTGAAAAGTCTTCCGAATGCTCCTTTAGTTGGAATGGGTCCAGGAGAGACTGCATTGAAGCGTAGCCCATATTTAGACCATTCAGTGGCCAAAGACTTGGTCATGGTCTCCACTCCAGCCTTTGAAATTGCAGATGGAATTACAAATGGGCCACCGGCTCTAGCATAGTTGGCAGTGATGGAGGTGATAGCGGCGCCCGCTTTGTTCTGAAAAAAATCTTTTAAAAAATCTATTGGTCAATCCAATTTGAATTACTGTACCTTAATACAACGTCTTCCAAGTTCTGTAGTCACATTCATCGTTCCCTTGAGTACGATATCAATGATAGTACCATATGCATTTGCGGAGAGACGCTCGGTAGCCATAATGAAGTTTCCAGCGGCATTGTTAACCAAAACATCTGGATCTTTGCCGAATCTAAATTTTAGACTGTCTTTTGATTTCAGATTCCAAACTAACTTCTTCTGAATTTGATCGAACGCCTTGCTGACCATTTCAGGGTCACGAATATTCATCTCGAATGGTTCACAAATGCCGCCCGTATTCTTCTGAATATCCGAAGCGGTCAATTGTAATTTTTCCATGTTTCTAGAAGCAATCGCCACACTGGCGCCCAAATGAGCCAATGTGCTGGCGATGGCTTTTCCGATTCCAGTACCTCCACCAGTGACAAGAGCGAGTTTTCCCTGGAAATTTTTTTTAGAATTGCAGACTCTCAGAATTTCAGAATTTCAGAAACTCAGAATCTCAAAATCTCAGAATCTCAGAATCTCAGAATCTCAGAACTTCAGAATCTCAGAATCTCAGAACCTCATAATCTCAGAATTTCAAAATCTCAGAATCTCAGAATCTCAGAATCTCAGATTCTCAGATTCTCAGAATCTCAGAATCTCAGAATCTCAGAATCTCAGAATCTCAGAATCTCAGGATCTCAGAATCTTAGAATTTGAGAATTCAGGAATTTCAAAATTTCCGGACTTTCAGAATCTCAGAATTTCAAAATTTGAGAATTTCAGAATCTCAGAATTTTAGAGTTAGAATCTTAGAATCCTGCGAATTTTCAGAATCTCAAATCTCAGTATATCGAACAACCGTAATCCTAGAAATTCAAAATCTCAGAATCTCGTGAAGATTCGTCAGAATCACCTTAAACGATCCATCCCGAAGAGCGGGGGATGTCAAAACTGGGAAAAATTTTTCCGGATTTTTGCAGAACGCCATTATTTGCAGATTTAGAAGATTATGGTTTAGTGTTGGCCAACTTTCCAACTGTCATTTTTTTCCACGTCCCATTTTTCGAAAAATCTTGTTAGTTTGATTTCATGTCACCACGATGATAAATTTTCAGACTTTTTCAGAATTACAGTCTCTAGAATAACGTGAAAATATGATTTCAAAATTTCCAGCATTTCTTGATAAGGATTGATCACAAAATACATCCCAAAGTGTGATGAACGTAAGTTATCTCCACGGAGACATCCGGACATCCAGACACACAGAGAGATGTTCTAAAGTATTTTCAGCGAAACCGTAATGTCAATAAACAAAACGGTCATTTGAAACCAGGCCAAAAACCGTCGGATCTACGTGGCAAGAATGCGCCACCTTATATGGAAAAGGATACGTTGTTGGGAAAGGAGAAGAGTTTTATGGTTGAGAAAATGATTGCTGGCGGAGGATTCGGACAGGTTTATCGGGCGAGAAATTTGGTAAGGATTAGCAGTTTTTGAGGATACTGTAATCTGAAAATTTTCCGAAATTCAACAATTTCAAAATTCAAACATTCAAAAATTTGAAAAATTGGGATTTTGAAATTCTGAAATTCCCAAATTCGGAAGTTTGGGATTCTGAGGTTCGGACATTCCGAAAATTCAGAAATTCAATTCTGAAACCCTTAAATTCTCAGATTCTGAGGTACCGAAATTTTAAAGTTCTAAAATTTTCAAATGCTGAAGTTTTGAAACAAAATATGTGATTCTGAAATAATTCTGAAAATAATGTGAAAATCGGAAGTTCAGATTTTTTTTTTCAAATTCAAATAGTAAGATTCTGAGTTTTGAACTTTTGAAATTCTGAAAGTCTGATATTCTAAAATTCTGATTCAAAATTTCTGAACGAACCTCAAAACCTGGACTTTCTTCGTTTTTTATATTCCAACATTTTGAAAATCTGATAATTTGAATTTCTTTTATTTCTACAATTTCAAAATTTTATCTAATTTTCTTCCAGGACACTGGAGAAGAAGTGGCTGTAAAAGTGGAACGAGCCGGAACGAACGACTCTCAACGAATGATTCTAGAATCGAAAGTTTGGATGAAATGCTTGGAATCAAACATTTTCCCATCGTTTATTACATTGGACCTCATTCCACATACAATTTCATTGTGATGCAAATGTTGGGCAAGAATTTGGGAGATATCCGAAAGTTGTTGCCAACGAAAAGGATTTCCATTCATTCGGCGGTCAGAATTGGGATTCAGGTAGGAATTTTGAGATTTTTTGAATTTGAAACTTGATTCACAATTGATCCACAAAATTGATTTGATTCCTGGCTTTTGAGAGTTTTTAAAATATCGACTCTATCACTTTCAGATCGTCGAAGCCCTCTCCCTGTTGCACGGAAAAGGCTGGCTCCACCGTGATCTGAAACCCACGAACTGCTGTTTGGGTCTCGACGAGAAACGTAAAACCGTATACCTAGTCGACTTTGGAATGTCTCGAAAGTTCCGAAACGATGATGGAAGTCATCGAGACAGTCGTCACTACTGCGGATTCCGTGGCACAACGAGATATTGCTCATACCGGATGCATGATCGTCGTGAGCAGGGACCAGTTGATGATTTGTGGTGTTTGTACTATTCGATGGCTGAATTGATCGAAGGATATTTGCCATGGCGTGATGTGGAATCGGTGGATGAAATGGCTCAGATGAAGAAGATTTTGAAGCATGAGATGATCTTTCCGTTAGTTTTTTTGGAAGATTTCAATGAATTCCGATATTTTGAGAGTTAGAACTGAAACCATAATTTATCCAAAAGTCAAAAATCAAAATTTTTGAAAAATCGAAAAATCAATATTTTTCAAAATATCAAAAATTTTCGTTTTCAGCATTTTCAAATTTTTGAAAATTTCAAGAACCCTCAAATCTCAAAAAGATCCTATTCCGAAAACATCAAAATTCCAAAACTACTTTTCCAGAACCATGCCTTCTCGATTCGCCAGTTTCGACCGTAACCTTCGTCGCCTCCGTCAGACTTCCAGTCCGGATTACGTGAAATTCCAGAATATTCTGGCGAGCTGTATAAAGTTTGTCGACAACAACGCCGAATTCGAATGGGATGTGTTGGGTGTTTAAAATTGAGAGAACTCAAAATACTGACATGAAAAACTTGAATAAATGGTTTATAAGTGTTTTCATTTTTTGAATTTTTAAGTATTTGAAACTCAATTATAAATCAATAAACTGGAGAAATAAAAATGTGTTTATATAAAAATTTAAAAATTTCAATCAATGCATAAATAAAATAATAAATGATATCATATCACAGAATGAAAGACGATTTTTAGAGATTTGCGTAATTAGGATGAGGATAATTAAAATAATTAAGAAGACAATTAAGTATTAAATTGAAAATAAATTATTCAGTTGGTCTTTGTACACTTTTTTGACTAGCATTGGGAATTCAGCTATACGGATTTCAGCACCAACTACACGGTGTCTAGGAGGACTCTTCTAGAAAAAGAAAGTCAAAGAATATTGAGCATTTTGGAATGAGTTAGGGGGATGGAGAGGTAAAAACTAATTAAAGGAACACACTCTCAAAAAAGGAATTACTTAAAAATTCGTCCTTGTCTGGAAAGAGCGTCCGGGCGGTTTGGTTGACTGTAAGTGGGGACGTTGTAGTTGACTGGTTCGACGTCTGGACGATAGGCTGATGGAGAACCCTGGAAATTACGAATTCAGTATTTTTTTTTGAATTATTGAAAATTTCAAAAGTATCAAATGGATCTGTGAAAGTTTCTAAACTTCAGAAAAATTCCGAAGTTTGGAAATAATGGGACTATCAGCATAAAGTTAATGTATCTGAGTTACTGTAAGAGATACCAAAAAGGTGTCAATTGACAAAATGGTTATCATAATATTACCAACATTTTACCAGTTGACACATTTTTGATATCTCTCAAATGCACCGAGATAAGTTGACTCAAAGTTAGGTGTACCGTATTTCCTCCTACCATAGGAATTGAGATAATTAAGGTCAAATTTGACAGTGTGGGCACATTTCTATTGAAGTTTTATATCTTCTCTTGTCTCTGTCTTTTATGTCGTCTTTTCGTCTTTAGTGGGGTTATTCATGTAGCAAAACTCTGTATTGATTTTTTAAATCCTTCACAAAGTTTAAAGGCGCATCCCTTTTTCCAGAAAAAATATCTCGCCACGCGATGTATTTCAATGCGTTTACAGTTATGTCGCGAAATGCTTTGAAATAGGTTTCGCGACGTTCCTGCATTGAATTTCTAGGGCGCCGAAATGCATTTCAATACAGAGTTTCGCTACATGAATGACCCCATAGATGTTTATTGACTTTCCGAAAAATCGGACAAATAGGCTAATATTATTTTTTTTTCAAGTTAGGAAACCGTAAAATACAGGATTACAACGGCGTTAAAGTATTTCAAGGCGCCTCTGGAGAGTCCTTCTATTACAGGGGACATTCTAATGACGGTTTTACGATACAAAACCCAAGAAAAGTCAAAAACCCACCATCAGCGCCTGTAGCCTCTGCGAGAAAACATTTCCATCATCTGGAGCGACACCTCCAGATGTAGAAATATAGTTTGGATTGGTAACTTGCCCACCGTATCCCGGTGGAACTACTTGAGATTGAGTGCCTTGGCTTCCCATTATTCCTTGAGTCGGCTGAGAATTTACGGATTGTTGAGCAGGATGAATGCTCACTGGATTGCCGAATTCGTTGAGAACTCTGAAATTTTTTTTGATATTCGGAGATGTTCAACTTTGAAAATCTTGAACTCACGATCCAATCCTTGGAGCATTCGTATGAGCACTGACTGAGATCTGATGTTGACTATTCACACTATTTACCAAGCCATTCCCATTTAATCCGCCGACTTGATTTCTAGGGTCATTGCTACAAAAATCGTTGTTCGATTTTTCGAAGTTTCAAATGACTAACTTATTAAATCCAAACTGAGAAGTTTGATAGCTCGGATTGGCTCCAAAACCATTCATAGGTCTACTATTCGCATTAGTGCTACCAGATGAGACGGAGGGTCTGTAACATTGGCGATAATTCATTGGCGGTAAAGTTATCGAAAATCTGTCAACTGATAAAATGTTTATAATAATATCACCTAAATTTTTGTAGTTCATGACTTTCTGACATTCTTTACAGAAATTGAGATAGTTGAGCTCAAAGTTCCAATCAATTCGAGAAATATCAAACTCACTGTTGATTGGTGTAGCCACTGTTAACGTTGGAGTTGAATGTGTAAGGCTGAAAATTCTGAGAAATCAAACGTTTCAACAACCTAAATCTACTCACCGCCTGTCTTCTCATCTCAGGTCCAATATTCTGTCCTGGACTTCCATTCCCTTGATATGGTTGAACGTTATATTCAGTATTTCCATTTTGTCCATTAACTCCATTCAAGTTCACAACTCCATTTACAGCTGGATGGTATCCGGATGGCTGACGGGATTGTTGCATAATCTGTTGTTGATTCTGAATTCTTTGCTGCTGCATGTCTACCACAGATGGATTTGTATTCTGGGTTGGATACTGTGGATTGTTGACACTGTATGGTTGATTAGCCTGTCCATTTACAGGTACTCCATAGTTTTGTTGTTGTTGAATGCCTTGAGGGTTCTGGGGGTTATGAGGATTTTGAGGACCCTGGCCCGTCACAATTCCATACATATTTGATCCTAAACTTCCAATAGCGTTCCCAACTTGTCCTACAAACGCCCCAGTCGCATTCATCATCTGCCGTGGCACTCCGCTCAGTGGAATCCATCTACTATCATTTGGCCCGTTACTTCCATATGAGACCTGCATGTGTTGTCGGTTACGGTAGTAGTTTTCGAAATCTTGCTGATTCTGTTCGATGGTATTCGCTTGGGCGTAGGTTCTCCATTCGGGGACGAATAGATAGAAGCAGTCTTGTTGCTTGATGTTCAGGTACTCGTCGTTGTTGTCGGAGGCGTTTCGCATGATTCCGTATTGTGGCAGACAGAAGTCGTAGCAGTCCGTGCAGCGGCGGTCTGGAATTTGTTTTTTCGTGAACACTAGAAATTCAGGACTGATAAGTGGTATCAAAAGTCGGTCAATTAGTGAAATACACCAAAAAATTGTATGTTTGCCACTTATTGATAACCCGAAGGACAGTGAGAAAAAGCTTTTGAAAGTGGCATCCTTTAAAGGCGAATAACTATTTTCTTGCTACAGTTCTATGAATGTTGCAAGCTAAAAAAAAATGAGTAAAACTGTAGTTCATTCATTTTTCTCAAAAAAAGTTTTTTGGTATCTCTAACGATACTCGAGATATGCGCCTTTGAAATTTGGAATAGACGCAGACAACGAGAGGTTCTCGTTTCTCTGCGTCTCCATCCAACTTTAGAGGCGCATATCTCATTAACCGTCAGAGCTATCGAAATGCTTTGAACTAAGAGAATGTGTAAATTCTAATTTTACACAATTCATAGTTGTGAAAATTGTTGGGTTGCAAGAATGAAACCGTCTAGCTTCTCTCCACTTTCTAAATCCTTTTCAACTCACTTCTCTGATCTGAAGTCTGTTGTAGCTGCACAATTCGAGATCCATTGCACTCTGGGATCGGTGGGTTAAACATGTTTTGAGCCTGTAACTAGGAAAACTACAAGCCCTAAATCAAGCTTGAACTTACCGAATTAGTCTGTTGAAGTGGAGATGGAATCCATGACCAAACTTGTTGCCAACCATCGGTTTGTTGATGTCTCAACACTGAGCTCTTCGCTGCTTTCCGAACATCACCAGGGTTTGGCATTGAGGATCTATCCAGTGGCAGCAAGAAGCAGTACAGATTTCTACCATTTGCATTTAGAGATTGATCAATTACCACTACTTGGTTCTGTAATTCAAAAATTCTCTATCTTCCTTGACCCTAGAAAAAAAGACCTGATTAAAATCATAATAATTGATATAATTTCCTTTGATCGGTGGTGATCCGGCAATTTGGAAGCGGATTCGTTCTTTTTCAGCCTTCATATCAACCCTTGAAGACGAGTTCTGTCCATTGGTCAGCGAAGTTGGGGCTATCCATGTGAATTGGGCTTCTTTGGGAGTTGGGAGCACTTGGGAGAGGATGATAATGATGACTATGGCAATGATAAGAGCTACCAGGAGACAGAGACAACATCCCATTGTGTTTGGTTTCTTGCAGCTGAAAATTTAATAATTTGGAAGGAATGTTTTCAATTACCGTTGAACCTGTAATCGAAGGGCCCCGGTCAAATTTGAACTCAATTATCTCAATTCCTATGCAAGATATCAAAAATCTTTAAACTGACAAAATACTTCTGATATTTTGATGAATAATTTATCAGTTGACAACTTTTTTATAGCTTTGACAGGAATTGAATTTAAAAATTAGGAGCTCTTCTATCACAGGTTTTACGGTAATCTGAACATTTCAGAGCAATAGAAAAGTTTTGGAATACTTTTTCATGACTTCAAAATTGACTACCGTATTTCCTCTAATAGAAGCCCACCTCTATTTGAAGCCCTAAAAAAAAAAAATTTCAGTTTTTAGAAATTTCCTGAGAAGGAGGTTGAAAAATAGAAACCCATGGGCTTCAATTAGAGGAAATACGGTATTTTTTATTCAAATAGTCAAAATGCAAGATAATTTTGCCCGGTACTGTAACAACGAAACTCTGTGAGCTAATTATTCTGAAATTTTAATCTTGCTACCGTATCTCCTCTAATAGAAGGCGTCCACTTTAAGCTCAATTATCTCGATTCCTGTGAAAGATATCGGCAATTTGTAAACTGACTAAATACATATTTATCATAATATCACCAATATTTTTTATGTTGACAGATTATCGATATCTTTCACAGAAATGGAGATAATTGCGCTAGAGAAAATATGATATTCTGGTTCCTGTAATATTTTACTCACAAGTTCTTAATCTCCTGTAATCGATTCCTCTTTGGCTGATTCTTATTTTCATTCTTCTTCGATCCCTTTCCCTTCTTTTTCATACTTGGTGGTGATGGATTTGGGCCAGTAATAACGGACCCAGATCTTGATGGAGGCATACTTCCAGTACTATGAATAGTTCCAGCTGGTCTTGGAATCGAAACCAATCGTGGATCCGTGGAAAACACCTTCTGCTGCTGGATAGGTTGTCCTTGGGTCTGTAATCATTATTTTGTTAAAGAGAAATCACAAAAATATCTTGAAGATTCATGCTCGCGCACCTCGGTTTCATTATCCCGACTCGTACTTCTACCACTATCATCACCATTTTCATCAATGTAACGGACCGAATGAATTCGCGCATGCACTGTCTCAACCTCCTATACAACGAAAAATCACAATACAAAACAAAACAAAAGAGTAGAGGAGTAATAGAAAAAGTGCTCACCGAAAATTGTGTTGTAAAAACTGCGGGTTGTTGAAGACCCATCAAAGATGATGCTCTGGAGTTGACAGAGAATGTCGTGGACATTGGAGCAGCCGGACGCGGCGGCTGAGAATAGGAACACTGATTTTATGAACTTTTTTTTGTTAAATTTCATATTTTTTTTGGAAGTTTTGGAGATATCGTTAAACATGTATCGAATCTCTCGAATAGTTTGATTCAATATATCTCCGTTTCTGCGAGGAATATCAAAAAGTTCTCAACTAACAAAATGTTTATCATAATATCGGAATTATTTAATCAATTGATTACTTTTTGATATCTTTCACAGGAAACGAGATACATCAAATTAAAGTTGGCCCATATTTTGAGCTATCACTCACCGCTTGCTTCGGTACCATGGGATCTCCACCGACTTGCACCAAATTGTTCCAACTGTTTCTTCGTTGACCTGACATTGCTTCTGAAATTTATTATATAGAATGAACCATCTAAATTAATTGCAATCTGCTTTATAGCCTCAGCTTTCACAGCTTTCACAGCCTGTTTCACAGCTTTATAAGCTCAAACTATCGTAACCTCTAACCGAAAGATCTTCCGAATTTTAGTCAAATTTTCTCGATTCCTGTAAAAGATAGCAAAAAGTGTTCGACAAACAAAATATTGCCAATTTTAGAGTTTACAATTTGCCAGTTGATCACTTTTTGATACCTTGTACAGGGACCGAGATAAATATGGTCAAAGTCTAAGGGCAGGTTAGCTGCTTCCCTCGATTTCAAAACGCCACTCTACTTCGAGTTCAATTATCTGAATTGCTATAAAAGATATAAAAAATCTGTCAATTGATAAAATGTTTATCATAAAACAACCTTCACTTTTGTAGTTTACAAATTTTTGATACCTCTCACAGGAATAGAGATAAATTGGCTCAAACTCTAGAGTGGTTACAGGTTGCCGGCTCCCTTTATCTCAATGCACCGCTCTACACTTTAAGCCCAATTATCTCACATGTCAGCTCCTGTGAAAGATATCTAAAATCTGTCAACTAATAAAATGTTCATCATATTATCTCAAACATTTTTGTATTTTACAGATTTTGAATATCTTTTACAGAATTCGAGATAAATTGGGTCAAATTATGAGGGCTCAATCTCACTCACGATTTGGTCCACTACCAGACACGGTGCTCCATGAGTCTTCAGTGGCTGCCGAGTTGCGATAGGATGGTGGTGGTCCTGAAAATTGACATATGATATGGTACCACATATGGGGGAGAGGGAATAGGTAAACTCAACAAATACGGGCGGGGACGAAAAGAAAAGACTCTGTTGTTTTCCGATAGACAATAACTATTGTATGTTAAGAAGAAGTACTTGTCGTGGGACATTACTCTATTTTTTGTGTTTATGCTGTTTGAGTTAATTATGCTAATAAAGGGATTAAACACAAAAAAAATTTTGAAAATTAAAAAAGAGTTTACCTTCCCGGTATACCAGCATATTTTTAAAGCTACCTAGGCTTGAATTAAAAATGTTCTGTTATTTTTTAGATTTTTAGAACAACATTTTTAGAAGGAAATTTTTCCAAATTTCTAAATTCCCCATTAATATACAGATACCATTATGACAGGTGTCTAGGTTCAGGTTACATAGGTGGTCCTTGAAGAAAACTAAAAGTGAACCTATCAAGATAATGGATAGAAAAGGTGACCTAGAGGATTAGTGGATTAATGAAACATGGAGCTTGGGCGGGAATTCGAAAAACAGCTATTCGATTTTCTGAAAAAAATTAAATTTTTAGACTGCCAAAAATGTTCGAATTCACCGTACAAACAAATTCAAAAGTTTAATATAGGGAACTTGAAATTTGCATAAAGTTACTATTACATGTATTTCAAGTGGAGGCAGACGTTCGGAGCTAGCAAGTGCGCTCTATTGAGAATTGTTTTTTTTTCTAAACTATAGTTACCAATAGATCGCATTTGCTCAAAAAAAAAACTGCAAGAGATAGTTTTACCTTGTCCACGTGGCTCGTGGTCCAGCGCCGGAAACTGGGTGACTATCTGATTCGGTCGTGACATTCACTGGTTAGACAACCCCCCTGATCTGAAAAAAAGAATTTTGAAAAATTAAAAAAAAGAAGAGAGGGTATTACAGAACACAGAACCTTAGAATTTCGAAATTCAAAATCTTGAAATGATAACATTGAATTTTGGACTTTCAATTTTGAAAACAATTTTTTTTCGGATTTTCAGAATCTCAGAATCTCAGGATTTCAGAATCTCAAAACCTCATCACCTCAGAACTTCAGAACCTTGGAACCTCAGAACCTCAGGATCTCAGAATCTCATAATTTCAGAACCTCAGAATCTCAGAATCTCAGAATCTCAGAATCTCAGAAAATCAGAATCTCAGAATCTCAAAATCTTAGAATCTCCGAATCTCAGAATCTCAGAATCTCAGTATCTCAGAATCTCAGAATCTCAGAATCTCAGAATTTCAGAATCTCAAAATCTCAGAACTCAAGGTTTCAGAACTTCAAAATTTCAAAATTTCAGAATCTCATCTCAGAATCTCAGAATCTCAGAATCTCAGAATCTCAAAATCTCAGAACTCATGGTTTCAGAACTTCAAAATTTCGGAATGCAAAATTTCAGAACCTCAGAATCTCAGAACCTCATCACCTCAGAACCTCAGAACCTTGGAATCTCAGAATCTCAGAATCTCAGAATCTCAGAATCTCAGAATCTCAGAATCTCAGAATCTCAGAATCTCAGAATCTCAGAATCTCAGAATCTCAGAATCTCAGAATCTCAGAATCTCAGAATCTCAGAATCTCAGAATCTCAGAATCTCAGAATCTCAGAATCTCAGAATCTCAGAATCTCGGAATATCCGAAACCCAAAATTTCCAAAATTTCAAATCAGAAATTTCGATTTATAAAATTTAGGAAATTGCGAACTTCAGAATCTCAAGACTAACAATTAGACTGTGAAAAATTCAGAACTTTAAATTATTAAAATCTCAAAATCAAGCTCAGCTCTTGCAGGATTTTCAAAATCCTAAATTCTCGAAATCCTACAGTATCCATAAAACATCAAAGATGAGAAGGAAATGTAACAAAAGATCATGAAACGAGGAATCCGAACAGAAAAAAAGAAGAAGAACAAGAAGAAAAGTTTGTTCGTTTTCGCATAAATAAATGAGGGGGCTCACAACAGTCAGCTGGGGCGGTGCGCGGAAATAAGAAGAAGAAGGACTGTATACATTTGCAAATGCAGAAGAAGAAGCTTCTTCGTCTTCTCCTCCCGTATATCAAAACAAATAGAACCGCCTCGTAATCTTGAGCGGCTAGTTTATGCGGTAGAGCTTCAGGTTGCGGAATGTCGTCCCCTCCCGTACACATCAGTTGCATACAGTGGTTTTGACACAACTCAACTTGGAATAGATGTTCGGGGTGAGCAATTAGGCAAAAGAGGAAGAAGAGTGTTTGAGCATCAAATGAGCAATGTAACATGATTGAGATTACATGAAAAATCAGTGTTTTCGGACCTGATCATTTTTCCTCTAACAGAAACCTTCTCTGCCAACTGTTGAATTTTAAAAACTATCAAATTAACAAAAAGTTTAAATTATGAAAATATATATGATAGAAAAACGATATATGATTTAAAAGTCAATTTATAGAAGAAAACTTTTTTTTTGACTTTTTTTCAGAATTTCAAAAACTCTAAAAAACAGAGTTAATGAATTTTCAAAAAAATCTGAACTTTTGAATACTGTGGAAAACGAAAGAAAATTTTAAAGATTTTGAGATTCTGAAATTCTGTAATTCAAAAATTCTGAAATTATTAGATTTTGAAACTCTAAGAATCTGAATCTCAAAGATTCTGAGATTCTGAGATTCTGAGATTCTGAGATTCTGAGATTCTGAGATTCTGAGATTCTGAGATTCTGAGATTCTGAGATTCTGAGATTCTTAAATTCTTAGATTCTGAGATTCTGAGATTCTGAGATTCTGAGATTCTGAGATTCTCAAATTCTCAAATTCTCAAATTCCGCCAATTAAAATAAATCTAGCAAAAATTTGAAATTTCGAAAAATTTTAAAACCAATAGACGATAAATTTAAAAATCACATGCTAATCTAAACTAATCTAACATACTAATCTAAGTTTTGGAGAATCCAGAAGTTTCTAGAAAAAATCAAAAACTCAAAAAAAAAACAGAACATGCGCGAAAACATCCCACATACAATGACCAGCGCCGAGCACAAAACAGTCGTTGCTCCTCCACTTACGGAGATTACGGTAGCGGCTCTTAAGTATCAAGAAAGTGCCGGAATACAACAAAAAACGGGGGAACAAAAACATGACAAAAAAAGTTGGGAAAAATGAGGAAGTGAGAAAAAGTCAAGTTGAAAATTTCCAAAATTATTAGAATAATAGTCTCATACAACACACACACATATGTATAAATATAAAACGGAATTGAAGAGGTAGCCCGGAAAATCGGGAGGTTGGTTGGCCAGAAAAGAGAAGGTCAAAGACAAATATTTGGTGTTCAGAGAAGGCAAAAGGGAGAGAAAGGTGCATATGTTGGCTCGGGGGGAGAATGGGAGCTGTACTACTAGAACACGGGGAACACCTTGGTGGGTATACAAATATAGGTAGTCAAAATGAGGGGATTCTGAATTCTGGAAGGATGATGAAGTGGTTTTGAAGATCTATACAATACAGGCTTTACTCAATTCAATTTTCTTTTAATTCAATTTTTAATTCAATTTTCTTTAAATGTTGTTAACTGCTGAAGTGTATGTTCCATTTCAGCAAAGGTTTCGTGTTCTTTGGATTTTATAATAATTTGGGACAAAATGTCCCAGTGAAAGAATACGGTAGTGGTGAAGAAATCTTTTCCATGATTCCCGGTAGAGCAGATGAAACCTATAAAGAAAGAATCCCTGAATTTTTAGCCAATGTTTTTCGCTTCCTGTGAAATGTAATACTGGTCAATTAACAGAATACTTTTGTTCTCAAAATTGATATTTTGCCAGTTGAGGATGGGGGAAATCTTCTGGTATGCTTTGGTTTCTATAATAATTGAGGCAAAATGAGCCAGTGGAAGAATACGGTAGCGGCTGAAGGAATTTTTCCGAGAAACGCTGTGAGTACCCTAAACTTTGAGCTGATTTTCCTCGATTCATGTGAATGATATCAAAAAGTGGTCAACTGATAAAATGTTTATCTTAATGTAACAAACATTTTGATAATTAAACAATTTTTGATTCCTCTCACAAGAACCGAGAGAAATTGGTTGAAAGTTATAGGTTAGAGAATGTCGTTCTATTAGAGGTTTTAGGGTACAAGAATTCAACAACAGCTAAAAATTTCACAATTCGATAATCGGAAAATTAATAAATCTCCTTTGAAGTTAAAAAAAAATAAAATCAGGAATTTTGAATTGCGACCTAAATTGAAGGAAACAATAATAGAAATTCAATTTTCGGAATATTTATTGACGGCAAAAAGAAGGTGGACAGAAAAAATATAGTATAAAAAATGTTAGGTGGCGTGACATAGTTTTGTTTCTGTAAGAAAATAAACGGGAAAATTTCACCTAAAAACCCCAAAGAATCGAAACTCCCCGCGCCCTAGTTTATCCAGGACACCAATGTTTCGCCAGTCAACAAAACGTGGCAAACTAGGTGGAAAACTCTTTTTCTTCAGTTATCAGCGTTCAACAACTCACAATTATTCTTCAATTTAATCATGTCAAACAAGGAATTGCATACTGTATTCTCCAGAGGAAGTGGTATGTACCACGATGTAAGAGGATCTGGGAACGTGACTAACGGTTAGTGAACAATTTTTTGCACAAAGTTCTGAAATTTTGAGATTCTGAAAATAGAAACGCTCTCATCTTTCCCTCTATCGTTTTTTTTTTGAATCATGAAATTTCAAATCTCATAATCTTAGAATTACAAATCTCATAATCTTAGAATTAATAGAAGGGCACCCTAACTTTTAACTTTGAGCGAATTCATCTCGGTTCCTGTCAAATATATCAAAAAGTGGTCAGCCAATAAACTGCTTATCATAATATCACAAACATTTTATCAGTTGACACATTTCTGATAACTTGCCTAGGAGCCAAGAAAAACTAGCTTAAACTTTACAGTATGGGTGCCCCTCTAATGCAGGTTTTACGGTATTCTCAATTTCCCTCTTTCGTTCAACTAACTTTAATTCAAATTTGTTTTCTTCCATAAAGAAAATTAACAGTAGCACAGGTCTCGACAATTAAGCATATGCCTCTCTCTCTCTCTCTCTCTCTCTCTCTCTCTCTCTCTCTCTCTCTCTCTCTCTCAGAGTGTTTTGTCTAATTATGCCACCCGAACCTTCAATTTTGAGCTCAATTATCTCAGTTCCTACAAAATATATCAAAAAGCTGTCAACTGATAAAATAGTGGTGGTTTTATGATAAATATTTTATCAGTTAAAAGTTTTTTAAATCTCTCATATGAACCGAGATATTTGATCTCAAAGTGAATAGTTACCGTATTTTCTCTAATATGTAGATGTCCGCTCTATACGTTCACTTTATTATCTCGGTTCCTTTAAAAGATATCAAAAATCTGTCACCTAATAAAATATTGGTGATTTTATGATAAATAATTTATCAGTTGACTAATTTTTCTTCATGTGTTCTTCTTCATGTTGCCTATTTTTCTTCATGTTGCCTATTTTTGAAAACCCAACTCTTTGAATTTTAGGTATTCTTGAATGAGAGCCCTTTCATTTTTCCCAAAACCACAATTCGAATCTCCAGACTACGAGCAGTCCGTTCTTCTTCTTATTATAATTGCTCGACCAGATTTTAAACGAAATAATCCGAAAATTGAGCTGTCCTATTTTTTATAATGAGCCCGACAGATCCACCTTTTCCTCTTCTAATTAGGTCACCTGTCCCATATCCCAGAGATATGAATCTAGGATCGTTCTGTTCGTCACGTAATGAGAGAGAGAGAGAGAGACCTTGTCCATCTGCACCAATTGGGTAATGTGCCCCTTTCGTTCTCAAAACCTTTGAACCTCCCCTTTCTTTTTGTCCCCCCGTCGCTCAAAAACCTCTGCGTCTTTTCTCCATGTCTCTGACAACGCGTACTACTCTGTTCCTTCCTCTCCGTCTCTACCCTCCCTCCGTTTCTTTTTACGTCTTTTCTCCCCCTGAATCTCTTCACGTCGTCATACTATTTCTTGTTTGTAGACCCCCCGTACTAGGTAGTATAGATGCCATCTTTTTTCTCATCGTCTCTTCTTCTTCTTGGACAGCTGAAGACGAGGAGAGTGACCGCCATTGCCTCGCTCTCTTCTTCTTCTTCTACATCTTACTCTTCTTCCTCTGTTCTCTAGTTTTACGTGCGGAATTTGAATTTGAGAGATCGTCGTTCGTTTGAGCCTTGTTTTTCGGAGATTTTAGACTTCTGAATTTTGTCCGGAATCTGAAAAGATTTTGTGAAAAGCTACAACGTTTTTGGAATTCAAATTCACACTTTTTTCTTCTTTTCAGGCAATTCTCATTTTTCAAATAGAGAAAGAATGCTCCGCCCTCTTTTTCTCTTCTTTTTCAAATTTTAGGATCCTCGATTCAAATTAAAAAAGAGCCCGAAAATTGAATGTAATTTTGAAAATCTGAAATTTGGAGTTAAAATTGAAAAACTAGCCCCGCCCTCTTTTCTCTTATTGCAAACGTCGTGTGAGGTCTGCATTTAGAAGGTTCTAAAAATTTGAATTTTCGAAAGGTTCTGAAAATTTGAATTTTCGAAATCATGAGAACTGAAATTTCTGTAAATCCAAAAATCAAAAAAGCAATTTATAAAATATCGTATTTTTTGTTTTTTTTTTCGGATTCTTAGATTCTTGAGATTTTTGAATTCTTGTTTTTCGAACCCATTATCTTGCTTCTGATTTTCAAATTTTGTATTCTGATTTTAGAATTTCTTGAGCTCATTTTTCTTTCTATAAAAACCGCTCCAAATCTCAACAATCCTATTTTTCAGGTTCCCGAATCTCCAATCGCCACCGTTGCGCACCTCGTCGCTACTCTCCAAACAATTCAAGGATGTCGGATCCGAAGAAAATGAGAATTGACGTTCAGGTGGATTCTGAAGTCGTCGTGCATGTGAAGGGGATTCAACTGAATCGGATTGAAGATGCTAATCAGGACGAAGGCGTTGCTATGGAGACTGGAGACGTTGCTGGCGGGGGAGTTGTCAATGAAAGTGCTGGAGACGTGAAGGTTGAGGCTCAAGAAGGTCCAGAAGTCAATGGAGCGATTAAAGTTGAGAACTTCGCATCAGGAGTAAATGGCGGTGCTTCGGTCGCTGACATCGCCGCTCCAAAAGTTCCGAAGACGGAAGCTGAGGCTCCAGCAGCCGATGTTGTTGTTGGAGACAATTCGGAAGGTAAGATTTTGAATTCCATTGCTACAATAGCTGACGTCAATGTTTCAGATGCAGCTCCTGTCCTTTCTCTTGTTGATGTGGCTTCAGAAGGCCAACCTTCAAGGATTACAACTCCAGATGTCGTAGCTGATGCTCCAAAAGCCAACGGAAACGGAGCCGCTCCAGAAGCTAACGTCGTGGTTGACGGACCAGGAACATCAAATCAGGCTGTGGTTATCCCTGTAGCAGCTGATGACGCCGACGAGATGCCACACTTGGATCCAGAAATTCCAGCAGCTGACGTCATGGCTCTGGTAGCCGAAGCGATGGCTGAAAATCCGGGACGTCGTGGAAGACCGAACAAAACAATGCTCGCGGCTCGCCAAGCTCTGACCATGCAAGAAGTTGCACTTCAACAGGCTGGGACATCTCGTGGAAGAAAAAGAACAGCTCCAAGAGAAGAAGATTCAGAAGATGAGACGGATGCAGAAGACGTTCCAGAAGATGTTGAAGAAGAACTTCCAGAACCCACTCCAAAAAATGAGGATCTCAGTCGTGGCGCTCGTTCTACAAGAGCACCGGTGATTCCAAAAGAAGCAGTTGTGAAAGCTCATACCAAATACGACTACAAAGACTTCAAGTTTGAAAAGCCAACTCCAGAAGCATTGAAAGCTATCAAAATCTATCCAGCTGGGGGAACAAGACCAGATAAAATCCATAAGACTTCTGCGGATTGTCTAGCAAAATGTTCCATTCACACCATCTTCCAAATGCTCGGAGCATCACTTACAGATGATCAGAGGGACATGCTTCTCAAAATCACTGAATCTGTTAAGGTGAGTAATAGTTTTTCATGAAGATCCTAAATCTTAAAATCAATTTTTCAGGAACCCCACTGCTACTCCGTTGAAGTGCCACTGGACAAACCGTTCCCATATATCGAAAACTACCGTAACCTGAACGACCAAGTTAATGCTCTTCTGATGGCTCAACCGGTCCCAGCTCCCAAAAGATTCGTAGCTGAGAAGTATCCACCACCAGTAACCTTCACGGGCGCCCCGTATTTGGATCCCGACACTGCAACAGCTGCCGAAATCCTCGAATTCGCCAATAAGGCCACTCAGATTGCGGAGCCATTGGACATTGCTGAAAGAACATTCATGTTCGATGGATCCAAGGACGTTATTGATTCGGAGAAGGAGCATTTCAAGGAGTTCATGACAGAGGAGCTCAAGGAGAACGGATATCTGCCCGTTCCAATCTTCACTATGAAAACTGGAACCGAAGAAGAAATTGCTCAGTTGAAGAAGCAAATCGACACAACTTCGATGTGCATCATCAGAGGGTTGGACAAAGTTATCGGATTCAATAATACGGAATTCACCGTGGAGGCTCTGAGCAAATTGGCTCCGGATTATCCATTGATCCTTCTTCGCAACATCCCTAGCCAATCCTTCTTCAATTGGCACACTCTCATCAACAGCGAGAGCGATTCGGAGCAGCCGAAGCAGTGGCGTTGCTATGGTTATCGGCATTATGTTCGACTTCACCAGTTCACCACTCACTTCAAGACAATGATGAAAGCCAGCGAACAAGGTAAGAGATCTTTTTTATTATTTAGGAAATGTACTCTCAAATAATCTGAATAATTTGAGGGATGAAAGACAAAACGCCCCACGAAAACCGAAAGAAATTCAATTTTCAGCTTACAAGCAAATCTTGGAAAACCCGAATAATTCCGAGGAGATTCTGAAGGTGCTCAAGGAGAAGTATTTTAAGGATCAGATTCCGATGGGAGAGGATTCTAAGACGCACCGAGCTGCTACTATCGTTGCTTTTGGATCCAATATGGATTTGGACAAGGATCAAATCTTCCCGAATCAAGCGAAGGCGAGTAGATTTCTGAACTTTTTTACTTTAAGATCTCTAAGAGATATCGAAAATCTGTCAGCTGATAAAATGTTTTTCTTTCATGATATCGTGAACACTTCGATAGCTTTGATATCTCTTGCAGCACCTGAGATAATAAAGATCAAATTTTAAAAAGTCCTAAAGTAACCCCCGACGCCAATTCTCACCCATTTCATTTTCCAGGAAGTCAAGAAGTTCCCTAGTTTCCTGGCACCCGCCGGAGAGAACAACCTGCTCTCCTTCTCCTACGAATCCATTGGAGGACTGAACAAGCCGCAGATGTATCTCAAGTTCCCATGCTGCAGAACACCGGCTCACTTTGAGAACAGCAACCTTGGCTCTATCAACCATAACATCGGACCAGGAGACTGTCTCTGGTTTGGAATCCCGCTCGAATTCTCAGGAGCGTTCCAGAAGCTTCTCAAGAAGAAACTCTACTCCACCGCAAAGCACAGAGCCAAGCTGTACGAGTACGAGCACTGGCCGAGCGAAGCCGACTGCGTTCAATATGGAATCCCAGTGCAGAAGTTTGTCCAGAAGCCAGGGGATACTGTCTACGTTGGAATCGGAACATACCACTGGGTGCAATCGCTTGGATTCACCACCAACGTCTCGTGGAATGTTGGTCATCCGACGTTCAACCAGATCGCCCAGACCGCCATAATCAACGATAATTATATCGCCAACGTCGCGATTCCATTGATGGGACTTGAGACCACAATGTGGAACATGATTATGGAGAAGTCTGTGGAGTTGGATCAACCGACCAAGGCGATTGTTAAGAGAATCCTTATGAGGTGAGTTGGCTGCCGACAATTAAATGATTCTATCAAAAATATGACTTTCAGATCTCTCTTCAAGGCCAAGAGAGACTACAAGCACGCCAAGAAGGAGAAGTTGGAAGTCGTATATGACAAAGACAGGAGCTGAACCCAGTTGAGCGATGCTTCAATATGAAGTGTAAGGCGGAGCTCTTCAACTTCATCCCTCTTGTGCCTGCCAAGGACATCCCAGAGATGATAAGGATGCAGCACGAGGATACTGATGTCGCTTCTCCAGTCACCGACACTCAGGAGAACTCGTACTGTTTTGGATGTCTCTCAACCATCGCGTAAGTTTTTTGACTGTGTGCCTTTAATACCGTAGCAAAATTTATATATATATATTTTTTTTCTCATTTTCAGCAAGTCCTTCCTCAGGAACCTAAAGGTTTATCAACGTCACTCCTTTGAAACACTGTCCACCGCCTATGACCAATTCTAAATATCGGATTCTCTGTCTAAATAATCTAGTTTATTTTTTTAAAATTAATATCAGCATCTCAACCACACACCGCCTTTAATTGTTTCCTTTTTTTCTAATTTCTTTGATCTGTTCTATTCAATTTTCTGTTGAAAATTATCTAGTTGATTTTTATTTCATTGATATCAATTGTACCCCCAACATCTCGAATTCTCTTTTTATATTTACATGCAACCATCTCGATTTTAATTTAAAAAATTTTGTTAAAAAAAAATAAACTAAAAAAAATATTATCTTGTTGCTTTCAGAAAAATGAGAACCTACGAATTCGATTTTTGTCAAGGATGTGTTCTCAAAGACGGCATCCCTCATCAGAATCATAACCCCCCCCCCCCCCGAGTTGGGTTACGGTAGAGATTGACCTAGTTTTTGAAAAGGAATTTCTTTCTGTTGCGACGGGAGTGTTACGGTAGGGTTCCTTAGAAAAGCGTTCCTGAAGAATATGAAGGTCTACCTACTACTTTTCTTTATAAAACCCTTTTCTTTTCAAATGTTAAAATTGAACTTTGAAAAAATATACACCTTCTGCTTTTAGAAGAATCTATGAATTCGATATTTTTTATTCATAGAAAAAGAAGACGTGGGAAGGAATCATAACTTCGATGCATATGTATACAAGAATTTAGCTGACATACGGGACAATTTTCAACGAGAATAGTTTTGTGAAGAAGATCGTCATTACAAAGAAAGTGAGACAAGAATATGTATAAGGCATTTTTGTAAGAATAGAAGGAACTTTGTCAATTATTTAGGCCCAGAAATTGCGGCCACTGATGGTGCAATCGTTGACTTGGTTGGATAGGTCGTTGATGAACTTGTCCAACACGGCTTCCTCTTTTTCCTTCTTGCCAAGGACGTCAGCATACTCGGCGTAGAGCTGCTTAGTTTTGTCTCTGATATTGATCATATCTCTGGAAAACAGATGTTTTAAGCTACAATCTGAATTTCCACTCACTTATGAATCTTGAAATTATTCTGGCCTCGTTTCGCAAGATTCTTCGCTGCGTACAAGACATTCGGAACCGATGGAGGACCATAGGACACTTGATGGCCGAACGCCAAATGATAAGTGACATTCATCAGCTCATTCTTCGTCCAGTCCGTGTCATTGACAATCACTGTGTATCGAGTTGGCCGAACAGTTCCCTGAAAATATTCAAAGTTTCAAATACCGGAAACACTCTAATACAACGCCACCCGAACCGTCATCTTTGAGCCCATATATCTCGATTCCTGTGGAAGATATCAGAAAGTAGTTAACTAATAAAATGTTGCTGATCTTATGATGAACATTTTGTCCATTGACCAATTTTTGATATCTTTCACAAAAATTGAGATACATTGGCTCAAATTTGACAAATCGAGTGGCTTTCTATTAGAGTGTTTACGGTATATGTCTTGCATGGAGTGAAACTCACGATCATCGCTGATTGGCAGCAGAGAATGAACTCCATCATCCCATGAGCTGATCCAATGCTATCCACACAGGTTCCAGATCTGACATTTTGAACTCTGGCGTTTCCCTTATTGATATGCTCCGGGAAGATTCGAACGTGTGAGTTTCTCTGCGCGAGAACCATCAAGAACCTCGGCTTGTATCCAGGCTCGAAGCTGTCGGCGGCCTCACGCATCTCCTCAACCTCCTTGCGGACTTGATCATAGTCACCTTCTCCGGAGCCAATTCTATACATCACAATGGTTCTCGGAAGGGCCTCGGTCGCATGTTTGTATCCTCGAAGGCACTCTCCAAACTTCTCTTTGACACGGCTGAAAAATTGACGGATACTAGTGAATAAGTTAATCCAACTCACGTTAACTTGTGAACACGGCTGTCTTGGAAATAGGAGAATCCTCCCAATTGAGTTGCGTGCTTCAGAGTGTAAGACACACCAACGATCGTTGGATCGATTTCCACAGTTTGCTTCTGCTTGTCAAACTTGGATCGTGCTCCTGTGTGCGAAAGCTCGAATCCAATGAACTGAGTATATTTGTAAAGCTTCTTTCTCATTTCCTCAGGATTAATACAGACTTGTCTGTTTTTGACAGCGTTTGGAACTTCCACATAGAAGTTTGTTCCACCGCATTTGGCGTTGAGTTTGCGAATCACATTGTCGACGGTTGTCTTATTGCCACCGCCTTGTCCCATCTTTCTCACAGTTTCAGCACAAAGTTGAAGTGTCTGCTGTCCGATTTTCTCCTCGTAGTATTTTAGGACGTCTGAAAAATAAATATGAAGCTACCGTAAAAATTCTATCAGAACGACTTTCCTAGCTTTCAAATTTCAGCCAATTTATTTCGGTTCCTATGAGAGATATCAAAAAGAAATCAACTGACAAAATATTTACCACATTATAGAGAACATTTTATTAGTTGACTACTTTTTGATATCTTTCACAAGAAGTTAGATATATGCGCGCAAAGTTGAAGGTTATTGTTCATACCATGAATATGTGGCATTTTCTCCAAGGCAATACCGATGACCAATGACACTTTGTTCCGAAGAGTGTGCTTCATCAAATCTTTGGTTTTGGCCAAATCCGAAGGGTCGCATCTCTCATCAATCCACTGGACATCCTGATCTTTATACCGGAACCCATGCTCACGGAACTTGCCCTGAAGACAACGCTTGAAATCACTGAAAATAATAAGGAATCATTGCGTGCAGTGCAAAATACAAGGACTCACTCAATCTCGCGCAACTCTCCACAATAGTTGATGATCATGATAGATCGGAGCTTCGCAGGTTTCACAAACGTTTCGTTCCGTCCTGCAATTATGCGAACATCAGCTCCATCGGCGATGACATGTGGTTTTTCCGGTTTGAAGAGAATGTGTGGAGGGGCGAGAATATTCGATCGGACAACAATCGGACGAGTATCTCCGAATCGAATTTTGAACGCATCGAAATGCTTATTCTTTTGATGCCCTCCCAATTTTAGATAGTCCTCCAGAATGATCCTTGTCTGTGCAATGTGATCCAGAGGAAGAGAGCTGTTCGCTCCCGTCATGAATTGCTGCTGTAAAAATAGATAAATTGCACATGATAAGGCTTCAGAATCACTAACAATATCACCAGTCATCTTGTTGTTCTTGAGACGTTGTCCAGGAATGATTTCGAGAAGTTCGAGCGGGTAGAACTCGTACTGTTGTCTTTTCTTACTGACGACGACAGGCATCTTGAACAGACATATCCCGGGCATCTTCTCCTCTTCTAAACTCAAACTGTGTGCTGAAAACGATTTTTTAAAGGTTCCGTCCCTTCAAAATCTTTCAAATCTACTTACGTCTCTGTGGATCCTTTGCAAAGGCTATCAAGGATTACGGTACGGTTCGCCTTCGAGTTATCCAGATGAATCGGACGGACCTCCAGTCCCTTGATGACGGCATTGAGAGCTGAGAGACAGAGACGCCCACTCTTGTAATCCTCCTCGAACTTTCTCAGCTCTTCCGGATCGTAGTCGCTTCTTCTGTTGTTCTCACGATCTTCACTGCTACGTCCATTGTCTCTGTCGTCTCTGTAATCTCTGCGACGGTCTCTGTCCTCATCGTAACGATGACGGTCATCTCGGTGTCTGTCGCGGTCGCTATGACGATCACGATTGTCATAGCGATCACGACCGAATCCTCGATCATCACTATGTCTGTAGCTGCTGTCGCGGCGATCACCGCCACCACCATGATAGCCACCACCGCGGTCACCTCGACCACGACCAAAACCACCACGACCAAAACCGCCACGTCCACCACCACGTCCACCACGACCTCCGGATCCTCCACTGACACCGTACTTGAGTTCCATGTACTTTGCGCTAATGAACTTCAGCATAGAAGAAGCTTTGAAGAAGCATGACCTTGCAATATCCACGGTAATATGTGCCTTGACCTCAGAACCATCGATGGTCACTCTGGAAACTTTAGAGAAACCTCCTTTGATTTCAGTGGTCCCAGTTGGCTCGGAGAGCACGTTTCCATTCACCGGGTAGATTCCTGTGGAGTAGAGGAGGAAGTTGTTGGTATGAAGAATCTGGTTGGATACGCATTCAATGCATCTAGTGAGTTCCGAGCGGTTATCCTCCTCGAGTGCTCTTGGACCACGCGTGGCCAATTTGCCAGTTGACTTAACAGTAACTTCGTATACGGTACCTCTGCGTCTCGAAAGCTTGCTCACAGTTTTGTATGATTCGCTGTCGAAGTCGTTCTCCGTTAGCACTTATGTGTTCTCCTCGATATCTTCGACCATGAAACTTTCTGGAACGTAGAAAGTCTCAGCCGCATCATACGCTGCCATGAATGGATAAAAGTTGCTCTGGAAATATCTTGGATTCTTCTCAAGCCACTTATTGAAGAGAAGACATAAGGCCTGACGACGTGACTGACGGTTGACACTGAAAATTGGAATCATGACAGTTTCAGCGTGCCAAAAAACTCACTCTCCAGAAACCGCCACAAGACCGTCAGCCAAATCGATGCGCTTCTCATTGGTCATCACCATCACAACCTTGAACACTATTTTGTTGATGTACGGATCCATTTTGGAAATATCAAGTTCACACGAGTTCAGTTGGACCTTTTCAGAATCAATGGGGGAGAATGAGCCACCACTGCCACCAGATGAAGACTCTGGAAGAAAATTATAAATAGAGAATTATCCTCAGGCTATGAGATCTCACCTCCATATCTTCTTTTGGCCTCTGTTGGATTATAATCCTCCGTTTCTTCCTTTTTCATCTCTCCGTACTCCCGCTTCATGCGACTTTCTGGAGTTGAAAAGGGTGGACGGGATGAGCCAAACGGCTTTCGATCCATTATGAGATCTGCAAAAAGCAGTATATTAACAGTGAATAAAAGAGAAGAAGGTGAAGGAGAGCCGAGGATTCAAACATTGGCGTAGTTTGAAAAAAAAAGAAAATGACTCTGATGCCACACCACCTTTGAATCAGGATTAGGCTGCGAGAGAAATATGTAGTCAATAGAGACGATGACTGAGCCGAAAAGATACACTGGACCAAATTCTTAGTTAGATTAGGCAAGCCAAATAGATGATGAGCAGATGCAGAAACGGAGCTCAAATACCTATCGGATATGGGCGGAGCCAGTAATGCCAACTACTGTAGACTCCGCCCCCTAGAGCAAAAAGGTGTTATACCAATCTGTTGACCTTTATTTATGGCGTCATACTCAACTGTTGCGCGTCTCCTTCTTCTAGGTCACGCGGCCGCTCGTTGACACATTGTTACCAGATGTTATGATCTGGTAATTCGATACACACCTAGCAGACGCCAAAGAGGGGAGCATGGTGGAATAAGATATGGTATTAGCAGAGGTGACAACTTGTTTTGAAATCAGAAAAGCTAGTGGGATGTTCGAAAATTTGGAAGTTCAGAAGTTCAGAAATTCGCATTTCAGAAAAAAGTTATAATCTAAATGTCAGCTGAAGCTCAAAAATCTGAAAAAGAGAAAGAAAGAAAAGGGAGGTAAATTTCGATTTGAATCAATTGCAAAAAAGTGAGGAGCGAAGCGACAAATAATAATAAAACTTCCATTTCGGTCGGCCGAAAATCTCCGACCGCCGCCTGTCCACCGACCGAATTCGTGCTAGAAAAAATTAGAGGCAGATGTTACAATTAGTGAATGGAGGTTACCTATGGGTGAATCTGAGCAAAAATAGGAAAACAACACTTTGATATTACTGTAAAGACAAATATCAGGAACTCTCTGAAGCTATATAAGCGACTGATAAGAAGCGGCATTTATGTACCTTGTCAAAAAAAGGTCGCTCTTTTTGATGGATGAAGTAAGAATACGAGGCAAACACCTTTTCTATTTTCTAAGAAAAATGGGAGAGTGCAGGAATGAAAATGGGAAAGGCAAGTGGTGCAGAGAAATGGTTTTTTGGGAAACGCGTCTGCAGAGGATATGAATCCAAAAAATGAGCCAAATAATCAGACAGAAAGGTGGAGGAGACGGGGAGACGCAGAGATAATTAATTTACATAAAAATACCTGATTGCTATTTTTCGGTTGGGGAAGGTGGATGATTGGTTAGTTGCTGAGTTTGTTAGTATACTCTCCTGAAATCAGAATTTGTGTAGGGTGCGTGGGACAATAAGTGAGTTAGAAATACCTAGTAAAAAACTAGATAAATCACACCGAAGGCGCACCAGCCAGCTGATAGAAGCGCCAGATGTCTGGTATACGAAAAATTGAAAACCATGGAATGGAGCGATAAGAGTTGGAACGAAGGGGTAATGGGAAGAGCCGCTCAAAAGCCGCTCAAAAAATTATAACGAGTTTTTATTACAATCCGTCCAATAGTTATCGGACTCCTCGATTTTGAGGAGTCTGAGAAAAAAGAAACCAAAAATCATCATATTCCATTTTGCCAGGAGAGAAGGGCAAGACCAATTTTGTTCTACCATGAAACTTTTGCGTTGGCAATTTGAAGCACAATGAGGAAAAATCAGAGAAACTTTAATTAGTTTATCAATTAGAAGTAGTGTCAAAAAATGAGGAGCGGAGCTACGAAAACGCGCCTGAGGCGCGCCAGATGAATACTTGAAGCGTTGAAGTGTCCGAAGAAATGATTACCATCAAATTGAAGCAATTATTGGAAGTACTTATTTTTAAAAATAAGGGAAATCATGAATATTAAAAAGAGTGATTTAGAACAGCTACTCAAAGTAAGAATGTTTCCTTAAAAATCTACAATCTCTCTGGTTGAAAATTAGCGATATTTCAAGCTGAAATTAGCGGTTTTCAATTCAAATTCAACGATTTTTCGGTTTTCAAAACTGTTCAAATCGGAAAAGAATGGCATGCGAATCTCCACGAAATTTTTCAAGGACACAAAACGACAACTGTTCTATGGGATGCATTAGAAAGAGAGAGTGGGCAAGAGTAATGTTGATGTTGACACCGGGTGCAAATGAAGAATGGCTGCGAGTTCAGAAACCATTTTGGGTTACTGTATCATTTCATGACTCATTAATTTGAATCATAAACCAACAAAAAACCAATTACTGTTATACATTAAAGTGATCATAAAAATTTTTAATGGGATACTGTAAGTATCAACTTTTATTGCACTTGTTGTTCAAATAGAAAAAAACGTTTAAAAAAAGGATCTATAACCACTGCTCATCGATCAAACGGGGATTCCGAGCGATTGGAGGCATTCGTTGTAGGAAATCGCCGATTAGAAGTTCGAGCATTCTGAAAAATAGGAATATGAACATATAGACAAGAATAACTATTTGGAATTCATAGTGGGAAATTCTCGATAGTAATTTTTCGGGTGAAAAAGAACCGTAACCACTGAGGACCATGGGGAAAAGGCAGATGCTTCGAGGGTTTTATTGGCTAGTACTCTGTAAGCAGGTTCCAAACAATTTTTAAAGGAGATAACTTGGAAATTCGTAAAGTCTCGATATGATACAAACCCTAAACTGTTAATCCAGTTTTTTTTTTCAGCGAACAGCAAAAAAACAAAAACATATGATAACTATTCGAACCCAGCCAAAAGAGAGGTTTTAATTAAAACTGTAGGACCCGTGACTTTTAACTTTGAGTCCATATACCTCGGCTCCTGTGAAAAATACCAAAAATTTGTTAACTGCAAAATTTTTATCTTAATATCAAAAATATCGTATCAGTTTATCACTTTTTGCTATCTTTCACAAAAAACTAGATAAATTGGCTCAAAATTGAACGCTAGGGAGGTGATTCTATCACAGATTTCACGGTATGTGTTTCTAGGTTGAAGGTTTCCACAAGAAGACCTTTTCGAAAATTGAAAATCCTAAACCCTACCGTACCTCTCCCACTCTCTCCACTCTCGCACCTATCCGAGTACCATCCACCTGTGGACGACTCCGCTTGATACCCCTATTGCGCAATAATTTTACCAACAGGTACGACGTCAACATGTCTGCTCGTCAAAACAGAAAAACACTTATTTGCCAAAACGAGTTCAATCTCTACCGTAACCTAACTCGGCATAAAAGATGCGTCTTCGGGAACCCATCATAAACAGTCGGAGGTTCTTTTAAGAAGCGGGAATCGGCGGACACCAGACGCGAGAAGGTCATATAAACAAATGGGACATACCATACAACCTGTAGAATCGTCCCCTACCCTTTATCTTTAACCCAATTTATCTCGGATCTTGTCGAAGATAAAAACAACTTGTCAACTGATGAATTTTTATCTTAGAATCACAAACATTTTACCCGTTGACACATTTTTGATATCTTCCGCAGAAAATTAGTTATATGAGCTTAAAATTGACAGTGTGATGGCCGTTTTTTACAGGTTTTACGGTAGGTTTCTTCAGAGAGATCATGAGATCACATGCTAATCATAGTTTTTCCACAATTACGGTTTCACTTAAATGATTCATGCTTTTTCTCAATAAAATTTTGTTTACCAGAAATTCTTGAAAATTTCTTTTCAGCTGAAATCCAGACATCTGGACACCCGGACAAACTTACGTTGGTTTGTTTGCCGTTGGAGCCACCAGTGCCACCCCACTGGCATTTTTCTCCTGGCTCTTCTTACTCACTTTTTTCACGGATTTCAATGTCACCATTTTCAGTCGTTTCGGTAGATTCACTTGGATAAGTCTCGTTTTCATTGGAAGCGAATCTGCGACTTTGATGACGTTGGTGGTTTCAGAATCCACGCCATCTTCTTCTTCTTCTTCTTCAATCGAATCTTCTTTTATCAAAAGACTGGGCTCCACTTGAGTTCTTCCATCTGTCTTCAGATGGTAATACGGATGAGGATCAATTGGAATTGATTCAATGACACTTTTCTCAATGGGTACTGTATCTACAGTATCCCAAGATCCACCGGCTCCCTCGCTGACGTACTGTAGTTGTCGAGTAACGTCTCTTTTGTCTCGATTCTGGTGAAATTCGATTTGTGGTTTTTTGAGTTTCCTATTGAAATTCTGATTCTGCTTCCTTTGAGGTGTCACAATTCTATTAGATCCCACAAACTTTAGCTTCGTTGATTCTCTCGGAGAATTCGGAATCCTTGGGCTCTGATTCTTTGTCAAATTGGCTGGAATCTTTTTAGAAGACGTCACATCTGAATCCCTTGGACCGAACAACATCTTTGATAGAACTTTCCGAAGACGCATGCGATTTTGAGCTCTCACACGATGATTCAGATTTTTCAAACGACGCGATCTCTCGATTTTCTTCATTTTTCGGAGATTTTTCTTGCGATTTTCAGATTTCTTGAGAACTGGGTAGACTCTTTTGGGTTTGACTCTTTGCGGTGTCACAAGAAGAGAATGAATTGGATTCCCGGTTTTTTTGTGGCTGAGTGGTCTTGGAATCACTCGGTTTAGTGGTTGATCGGTATCGACAGAACCGCCGTGGAGCTGGAAAAATTGATTTAGAATCTTAGAATCCCAAATCCTTCACCTTCACTTGTTTCATTTTCTCTACAGTTCTAACATTTGAAGGATTGTCTCTCGTAGGCTTTTTCAGATTACTATGATCCGAAAGGTCATAATCTAAATGTTCGAATGGATCAGGACGAGCTGTAACCGACACATTTTTCACCTGGAATTAAAATTTCAGTTCTCTTAGGTTAAAGTATTTCTAGGCCACCTCCTGAATCAGCGTAGTGAATAGAAGAGGTCTTCTGGTTGTTGATGACGTGGCACTTGCCATCTGATCCTCCGCCATTACTCCAGATCCTTCTTCATCGTTGAAAAACATTGTCTCATTTCCCAAGAGCATCATATCAACTGGGGATGGAGATGTCATATCGTCACGGGTTACTGTAGTTCGTAGCGTTAGCTCTTCTCGATGTAGGTCACCCATTAGGCGGGATACTTCGTCACGGATCTGAGAAAAATATTTGGGAAATTTTTTTTGTATTTTTGAGTTCGCTTCTCACCTCCGCGCTCGATTTTTGATTATTCATTGAGATCTTGACATGTGGTTTGTATTGCGAATCTAGGAGACTATGCTAAAAAATCAGATACACAACTCAAGAAAATAACTCGAAATGATCACCTCCTTTACCACTTTAGGGGTTACTGTAGTTGGTACTACTTCTTCTGGCTTTGCTGTCAATTCATAGTCCTCATAGTCACCGTAATCAGGGGCTAAAATCGGGGCAGTAATCTTCACTGAAGATTCTACAGTAATCTTTGAAAAACTTACGTTTTGTAACATTTTTGGCAATTGGCTTAAGTTGAGATTCAATATCTGGTACCACTTCGGGATCCACGTGGCGTTTCCGGTCAGTGTCCAGATCAATCGTGGCTGAAAGTACAGTAATCTAAGAATCCAAGAATCCAAGAATTTAGGAATCCGAAAATTTTGGAATCCGAGAATCCAAGAATCCAGGAACCCAGAAATCCAGGAATCCAGGAATCCGGTAATCCAGGAATCTAAAAATTCAAGAATCCAAGAATCCAAGACTTAAAAAAACTCACCCATATAAACTTGCGTCTTCTTTTTCGGAAAGCTGAAAATCATTCAAATAAAACCTACAGTAACCCAGAACTACTGTACCTATTAACATCTAAAACTAGGAATATTGCAAGTAATAAAAACCTCATTTTCTCTCAAAAAAAAATTCTAATAGCCAAGCCGAAAAAAAGGACGAGCGATCGAATATATGTAGAATGATATCTGTTCCCTTCTCTCGAAAGCCAAAAAAAATCTGATTGTTTTTGTGGAAGTAACAAGTTATGCCATATCTTCCAACCAACTTGTATTTTCTGATTGCGGAGAAGAACAAGGGACGAGAATAATGCGTTAAGCGATGACATAAGAAGAAAATGTCTTGGGAAAAAGGGAAAGGATAATGAATTGGCTTGCCGGTTAGTTACTTTTTTTGCAGAGAGATTCCAAGTTTTGGATATTTTGAAGGGTTCTATTATTTTAATTTTTTGATACTTCGATGAAGTGGAGTTTTGAAAAATATTCGTGATGAAAAATTCAAAATTTTCCATATGAAAAAGGGATGTTAAAAAGGGTCTCATGCTTTTTTTGTTGAAGAAAATCTGAATTTGCATAATTTCATCCTAAAAAATTGAAAAAAAATGACTTCACAGCTTCTGGAAACTTCCAGAGTCTGGAAATCGACTTCGAATATTTCCAGATTTTGGAAAAAAATGCTCTGTTGAGCGACTTTTGAATTTCTGCTAAGATTCAAAAAAAAAAGAAATTTTGATATTTTCAGATTTGATGATTTTTTTCAGATCTGGAGGCCTTTTTTCAGGTTTGAAGATACATTTGGAAACAAGAAATCCTGTAGTCGAACAAATGAAAAATATGGAAATACTAGCAGTGGTCTATATTCTTTTTTTTGAGATTCTGAGATCCTGAGATAATAAGATTCTAAGATTCTACGATTCTGAGATTCTGAGATTCTGAGATTCTGAGATTCTAAGATTCTAAAATTCTGAAATTCTGAGATACTGAGATTCTAAGATTCTAAGATTCTGAGATTCTGAGATTCTGAGATTCTGAGATTCTGAGATTCTGAGATTCTAAGATTCTAAGATTCTGAAATTCTGAGATTCTAAGATTCTAAGATTCTGAGATTCTGAAATCCTGAGATTCTGAGATTCTGAGACTCTGAGATTCTGAGATTCTGAAAATTCTGAAATTCTGCAGTTTTGAAATTCTGAATTTCTCAGATTTTTAGATTCTAAGTGACTTCAAGACATTATTTATTTCAAAAATCAGCACCATTTCAAATTTTACATTGTACAAAAAAATCACACAGTAAGTTTCTCAGTAAACAAAATCGCTCTTAGCATTTGCCTCATAACCAGATCCAAAATATTGCTCATCTCATCTGAAACAGCTGACACGACGAAATCACTGAATTCCGAAAACATCATCTCAGTTCTCGCTTTTCGTTCGTTGGTCCCCATTTTGGTACTTTTCATCGCTTGAAGATGAACAATTGTGTAGTGGGTCTGGAAGTGAGAATTTCTGAGGAATTGAGGATTCTGAATCCCACTTACCTTCTCTGCAATCTCCTGTAATCTTTCATCTTGTGCTAATTTCAATAAAATCGCTTCTGCTTTATATGCATTGTAAGATTGTTGAACCTCGGTTCGAAGTGTTCCAACAAGAACATCCAATTCAGTCATCTGTAATTTTCAATATATTTTGACCTTTATTCTGACTCATAATTCGGTTCAAACTAGGAACTTCTATTTGAATGAAAAATTAAAATAAAGAACTTGGCAATATCTACAAAAGGATATAAAATTCGACTATATTCGAACTGACCGTATAGGAGCCGGACCGACTGATTTTTTGGTCTGCCGGTTTATGCAACTATGACCCAGTTTATCCCGGCTCCTGGGAGAGATATCAAAAAGCGTTCAACTGACAAAATGTTCCTCATGATATCAAAAACATTTTATCAATTGGCCAAGTTTTGATACCTCTTACAGAAGCCGAGGTATCCTAAATTGGGTCAAGGTAACCATCTTGGTCCCTCTTGGTCTGTCTGCTTATCCACCGCAACTCACTTTTCTCACTTGTGCTATTCCTGGAGTCCGGTAAATCGCCATGAATTGTTCGATTGCTTCATTTGTAGCGTTAATAAGGAATGGAGGTTTTGGAGCTGGTTCTAGGGTGACCTGGAAATCAAAAGTAAGAAAATAAATATATTTTTTTCAGAATCTTCTGAATTCAAGTCAAAAACCATAATTGCTCTAATAGGAGCGCACCCGATACACTTTGAGCTTAGTTATCTCGATTTCTATAGAAGATATAAAAAATCTCTCAACTGATAAAATATTGGCAATAATATGATAAATAATTTTTAAGTCGATAAATTTTTGATATCTTTTACGGGAACCGAGAAAATTGAGCTAAAAGTTTATAGGGTATGTTTCTAGGACAAATACGGTAATCCGCTTTGGTTCCCTGAGAAAGTAATTCAAAATTGTTTCATTTATCTGACAATTTCAGAATATACTAAAAAAATTAGAGCTTCATTTTGGTAATTGACAATTTTTGTTCATTTCTATTTTTAATGAAATATGCTGTTTGAACCTAAAATAGCTTCAAAAAAGTTGTCAATTACAAAAATGAAGCTCTATTTTTTTAGTATTCTCCAAAATTTTCAGACTATTTTCGACTGAAAGGGGAACTTATTTTCAGATCCTCGAAACTTCTGATAGCGAACCTGATCAGTCCGATAGCCACCGACCTCGTCTAAATTGAATTGTCGAACGTCGATTACGGATTTTTTGGCACACTCCAAGAAAGAAACAGAAAGAAATAGTTTGATGAGCAGAAGCATTATTAGAGAAAATTAATTGTATTATACAAAGCGAAAGTTTTGCGAATAGAAGTTTTGAGAATAGAGCCAACACACACACAATACCTCAATACGTCAAAATGGATCGGAACGGAAATTTGTGTTTGTATTTTGTTGACACTATACATTTGATATCCACCCTTCTTCTCCCGCCTAGCTTGGGATATACTGTTTTGACAGTAAAGTTTCGGAAATGAAATTTGAGAAGATTTGAATGCTGATTCTTATTAGAATCTGAATACCGAGAAGACCTGCAATAGAAGGGCCCCTAACAACTTTGAGTCGATTTATCTCGTTTCTTGTAAGAGATATTAGAGAATGGTCAACATTTCATCCGTTGGTCACTTTCTGGTATCTTTTACAGGGAACTAGAAATATTGGCTCAAAGTTAGACGACCTGTAGATTACAGGTTTTTGTGACCTCACAGTTTTCAGTCCATTTTGAAGACTACAATAAATTTTCTAAATTCAGACAGTGTGTAATTCAAAAAAAGTTTCAGATCGGATAATTCGAAAATTTTGGTCTCCAAATTTCTAGATTTCTAGATTCACAACGTTCATGAAAGAGATATCGAAAAGTGGTCAAGCATGTTTCCGGCGCTTCAAACAGCTGTATGTTGGTTTTTGCTTTCCAGTAGTCCCTTTTTCTAAAGTTCCAGAGAACAAAGTTTCAGAAAAAAAACATTTATTTCAATAAAAATAGGATCCTATACGTTTCTGCCAAAATTATTAATAATCCATGTCACAATCATCCGAAAGATAACTTTTTAACAGACTGATCACTCCAGCTGAAGCGAATCTGGCTCGTCGACGCGTTCCGAACTCCCAATTGTTTTTCTGGCATTCTTGGAGGAACAAGTGACGATTCTCAAGAATTGGATGGGCATACAAGTAGATGTCATGCTTTTTGACTCCGCCTTTAGGCTGCTCCAGTTCAATGAAAAAGTTGTCGCTCCCATGTTGCTTGAAATGATACGCCATCGCTTCCTCAAACTCCTCTTTATCCACGGTATCCTCCTGCTTCATCAAATTGGCCCAAAGGCCATCAACAAACACTGGAAGATCGGCAGCCGACTTTATTTTATGGGCATTGAAGTCCCGGGAGCTTTTTATGATCCCTGCGTCCTTTCCTGCTTTGAACATGTCATGGTACCATTTTTGAAGTCTCCTTTTTGTTGGATACTTCTGCCACTCCGGGTGCACATTGAAAATATAATAGTCCCCTTGGAGAGGAGGATTCGCATACAAGTGTCCGTAGAAGTACCCGATCCTCCTCATGTAATCCATGTAGCTATGAATCACTTCCATGTACACTTTTGTTTTCAGATGTGCTGGTTGGAAGTGTGCGACCGAATCGAGATAGTCGATCACAAACCACGATTTTCCATCTTTTCCGTGGTTCCAGCAGGTCTCGGTAAACATGACGAAGAATAACTGGTCCACGCCTTCCTGACGTTGAAAGACGTATGTCGCTCTGGTTGCGTAATCGATATGAGTTCCAAACTTAGCGACTAGTTTTTCATGGTAATACTGTGGGACCATTCCAATGTGCTCTTTGATAGCGGCTTCTCTTTCAGCAGTGAACGAGATCACTTTAATTGGGGACTTCAACGCCTCCTTTACCCCAATTCTCCTCTTCAGGAAGGTATTAAGTCTAACCTCCATGTGCTTCGATCCCTTTTCGAACTCCTTGATTCCAATTATTTTCTTAACATGTCCTTTTCCATGTTTCTTACACACAAAGCTTTCAGGAGATCCCAAATGGAATGAGCAACAGCGATGCCATTTGTCGTGGCATCTGATGCATTTCAGTACGTCTTCTGATGCCTCATTCTCGTTGATCATCTCATGAAAATCATCCATTTTTATATTCTTCGCATGTAGTTCTTTTTTGAAACATTTTTGGCAGAAGCTTCGTTCCTCGTCCTCCGAAATTCCACCGAAGTAAGAGCTGTTTGGATGGATCCGGCATTCTTCGACGTCTCCATCGCAGATGATGTTGCTGGCATTGTACCGCAAAGATTGGAGGAGCTCCTTGCAGCAGACGGCATCAAGATTCTGAAAGTTAGCATTTCGGTAAATGATCAAAACTTTGTAGGAGAGATTCGAGTTTCAGAAATACCGTAAAACCTAGGAGGGCTTCCTAACTTGTAACTTTAAGCCAATTTATTTCGGTTCCTGTGAAAGATATCTAAAAGTGATCAACTAACAAAATATTTATGATAATACGATAAATATTTTCTATGTTTATCACTATTTGGTATCTCTTACATGAAACGAAATAAATTATCTCAAAGTTGTTAAGAGTCCTTTTATTACAGGTTTAATCTGATAGTTGTGCCACCTGACAATCAACTTTGAGCTTCTTTATCTCGATTCCTGGGAAAAATGTGAAAAGGTTGTGGTCGGCTTCTATTAAAACAAAACGGTAGGAATAACTTTTGGGGAGGAAATCTATTCAATTTGCAAGAGATATGAAACGCTCACATGTGATGTTGATGGTTTGCTTGTGATTCCATTTTTAATACTTGTTTTCTTGAAAAACGTAGTAAGTTTTGGTGGGGACGTCTTCTTGGAAGCGGTGGTCCATGGAGCCATTTTTAAATAGGTGAACGGTAAGTTATCTGAAATTAGAAGATTTTTTTGGAGAAGATTCAGATAGGGAAAAACGAAGCAAGAGGGGAAGAGGCTCAGAAAAATAACCTACATGTCATCGTAAAAGTCGAACCTGTAAAAGAAGCGTATCTCACACTGTTAACTTTGATCCAATTACCGTAAACCTTCTCTAGGCAAAATATCAGGATAACATTTTTTTGGTGTCTGGCCTCCTTTAAATTTTGAAATTTTGTGAGTCAAAAATCTAACGATCGAATAATTAAATTGAGATTTAAAACAATTAAAAATGGGTTAAAATTTAATACAAGATCCGGAAAATCAATCGAAAATCCAAGAGGATGAAGGCAAACCTCAAACCTCTTGCACACGGTTCCTTGGGAAGAATGACTCGTAGAAGGAGGGCATGAAATACAGAAGACAGATTTAGATATTTTAGATAAGGAAATACTATGTCATACAGTTGCTCTGTGATCTGCCGACCCACGTTAATCTACCATCTGCAAATCCATCAATTATAATTGTCCGCTATTGTATGGGAGACTCGTGCAACATGAGCAATTATGTAATTGGTGAACACAAGAATCTGATTTCTAAGGAATACTCGTATCTGGCATGGTCTTCTAGATTCTGGACATGATAGTTACCAACGTAGAATACTTACTGGGTAAAGAGTTTAAATTTGGGTTTCTTTTTTTCTGTTAGGTTTATTTTAGCTCTGAAAATCGATCTTCTTCATATATTCTTCAATTTATAAAAATTGGAAAAGAGCAAAAAGTGTGTACAACAATTGAAAAAAAAGACCAATTGGGAGCAGAAAGAAGGAGTCCAACGCCAAGATTTGCGGTTTCATGGCAACCCGAATCCGGAGGACCACACCTGTTCCGCCAAGAGTCGCAGTGACGTGATTGAAGGCTTGGGACTCGTCGTTGATTGATGATTTACCAGTCGATTTCCGCCGCCTGTCGGCGGCTACAATCTCCTGGCTTCACTAAAAACGTTTGAATCTCCAAATCGGAGAGAATCAGAAGAGGAATTTTTAGTTGAATGTGTTGTCAACTTTCATAAACAGGAGTGACAGTCTGCTTACGCGCCTTCGAGGCTAAACCTTCTGGCCCCTGCTTACAATAACGGTTATTGAATAACCGCATAATGTTTTTCTTTTACCCACTCGGAGTTAACCGATTGAATTTGAACTTGGACAGACAAAGCAGAAATGTAGATCAGAAGTATGTCTTAGTTGATGCCCGAATTGTTTTATTAAGTAATATTATTGAAGCAATATTTAGGTCATCCCCGTCTAACCACCCAGATAATCTTTTTTTCAATTCGGGTTTTGAAGAGCCTATTTACGAATCGTTGAATTTCATATTGAGCATTTAAAAACTTGTGAACTTCAAAGTTTCCGAATTTTTGAACTATTAAATTTTTTCTGAATTTTCGAATATCAGAATCTTGGAATTTGACAACTTATAATTTTTTCATAAGTTTTGAAATTCAGAAGTCCTGAATTTTTGAAACTGTGATTCTAGAACTTAAAGTTTTCTCAATTTTCAAATTTTCAAGTTTCTGGGTTTCTGAGTTTCTCAGCATTTGGTTTTTCAGAACTCATAATTTCGGAAATTTCGTAATTTCGAGTGTCCGTATTTCCGGCTTTCTGAGATTCTACTTCACGAATTCCCAAACTTTAAAATTTTAACACAAATGTGATTTTCCGAATTTCTCTAAAACTTAATTTCTGAGTTTTTGATTCACAAAGTTCATGAATTTCCGAATTTCTCTAAAACTTAATTTCTGAGTTTTTGATTCACAAAGTTCATGAATTTCCGAATTTTCTAAAGTTTGAACTTGGGCTTTCTGATATTCTGAACTTCTGAGTTTCTGATTTTTCGATTTTTTGAACTTCCCAGCTTTGGAGATTTTGGATTTTCAAATTTTCGAGTGCTCAAACTTTCAAATTCTCAAATTTCATAATTTCCGAATATCTGAATTTTTATATTTCTGAATTCCCTGTATTTTTGGACATTAGAACTTTCTGGTTTTCAAACTTCAAAATTTCCGAAGTTTCAAATTTCGGTGTTTTCGAGTTTCCGTATTTCCAATTTTCCGAATTTCCGAATTTCTGAATTAGAATTTTAGAAGTTCAGAGTAAAATCAAATGTTTGAAGCATCGGAATAGTTAAAATTTCGCGTTTTCGAAAAACTGAAAAATCAAATTTTGTGAATCAGAATCTCCGAAATTCAGTTTTTGAGAAATTAGGGGATTCAAAAATTTAGAATTTTCAAATTTTACTAAATTTTTTCTTTCTCACTCCTTTCAAAACTGACACAGAAAATTATTTCCACAAAATCTCCTTTTTTGTCAGATATAATGTGGATAAGAAAAAAATAGAAGGGTTGGGCGGGAATGACGTGAAAATAATTTTCGAAAGATTTGCTATGTAGAAATAGAAGAATGTCTCCAGAAAACGTCAGAAACAAATTTTCAAAATTAAAAATAGACGGGCAACATCTCGCCGCTATTTCGGATCATCTGTGAAAATTTGAAAATGTTTGGTCTACTGGGGACTTCGCTAGGGTCTCAGAACCGGGAACACCGGACACACACACAGAAGTAATTGTTAATAGTAAAGATATCTGCTTGCGCCAAATTATTATTTGTAACACTGTAATAGAAAATGATATGATATAAATCCAGGTTTTAGTTTCCCTTTGACCTCAATTATCTCGATTTCTATAAGAGATATGAAAGTATTGTCAACTGATAAAATGTTAGTGATATTATGATAAACATTTTATCAGTTGACTAAATTTTGGAATCTCTCACATGAACCGAGATAATTAAGCTTAAATGGAAAAAATGTGGGGCGCTATTGTCGAATTAAAAAAAAGTGGGACCTGGAAAAATTCCCGGGCGGCTTCCCGGTCAATTTTTGAGGCCTTGCCCAAAAACACTACGGTAGTAAACGAAACTTATTTCTGTGAATTCAGTGGGATTTCCAGACAAAATGTAGATTTTTTGGTATGAAAATGATCGCTATCATCTCTAGAAGCTGTTTTTCATCGAAAAACCGAATTCAATTGCGAAAGTAGCTCGAACGAGGCGAAAATCTGAAATATTACGTTTTTGCCGCATTTTTTCGTAGATCAAAAAAAGCTACGCCTTTCAAATTCTCAGGTCCCACTTTTTTTTAATTCGACAATAGGATAGAAAATTAATGGAATTTTATTAGAAGGGAAAAAAACCATTGTTGTCTAATCTAATAGGAAGAAAACATGTTTTTTGTTTGAAGTTACTCGAAAAATGGCGTCAAATCTGCTGCATTCACAATTTGCTTCTCTCTCCATAACGACTTTGAAGATTTTTATTACAGTGGTGCTTTTTTGTTTTGCTTTTCGTTTATTGCTTCAATTTCAATATTTTTTATATCAAAATACATGTTACGACATTTTGAGAAAGTTTTTATATGCATAAAAACCACAAATGTCGTCAAGTTCTGTTTAAAAACTCGGTGGTACGCAAACACGGCGGCCGAAAACTGCGGATTTTTGTTCTTTTCGAATTTTAAACCAAAAATTCACAATTTTCAGCTCTTTTTCATCGAATTTTTCCCCATTTTCCTTTCTCCGAAGAACCAATCTAAATACAAAATATTGAAAAAAAAATTGTTCCAGGTTTCTCGAAAAGGACGAAACGCCCAGCCACAGATCCTATGGAGCTGGCATTTGCAAGAACCGATAAAACCGATGGGATTCTAGTGGTTGAAAGAAAGAAATAACATGTCAATAAAGCAGTAAGTTGTTTGGCGGGAATTCGAAATTTCAAAAAAATCTAAAACTCTTTCAGCTTCTCTCTTATCACTCTGACTACTTCAACACACTATTCAGCTCGGATTTCAGAGAAAAATCGATGCCAAAAATCGAAATCAAGGATGTCAAATTTGAAGATTTCGCCACATTGCTCAGTCTTGTGCAGAAGGATCCCATCGAGCCGACAGGTAAAACTTTGAATATTTGTTTTGTCTTCTTCAAGTTCAAAACTTCAGAGGACACTGCCGAAAGCATTCTGGAACTTGCCGAACGCTTCATGCTGTCAGCCGCCAAACGCCACGTGGAACTTGTTCTGTTGTCTTCAGAAATGGGAAATCTTGAAAAAATCGAACTTCCGGATAAACATGATTTGAATTTTCTCTTGGTTGAAACACTGAAAAAATGCGAAGAAGAAGACATTGAACCAACATATGAATTTTCCGAGTTTTCAGACAAAACAAAGGCGAGAATTTTGGATCGATTAATCGAATTGTAATAATTGATTCTCTCCTTTCTCTGATAGTAATTTGCCGGTTTTAATTATTAATTCGAATTTGTTATGTTCACTTTTAGCATTGTTGCGTACCTTTTGATCCTGTCACATGAAGAATAAAAGGTTATTGCACAACAAGCACTATAAAATCACGATATTCACAGAATAAAACATTTCAGATCTTTTTCGAATAGTGGTTTCAGAGTTCGGAGAATATACGAATTCTGAAAAGCCTTCTCGTCGGACTTGTGCAAATCGATAAATCGGAAAGGTTTTCCGGGTTCTTGAAGTTTTCTGAAATTTCTAAAAGTATTCTTTCCGTGAATTTTCAAACGAGTTTTTGCTTGTTTTTCCGCGATTTTTATCGTTTTTAGCTTTTTTTTCGATTTTTTTGAAAAATCTTTAAAATATGTTGAGAATCAGATGCAACTCGAAAAATTTACGGGGTTGCAACAGCGTATTGAAATTTTTCCCAGTTCTTTTCGGCGCGTTGCGGCTCGCAACGCGGCTGGAATTTGGCTAGCGACAAAGCGCGCTTGCTAAAGGTCTGTGTTGCAATCCCGTGAAATTTCCAGAAAACGATTAATAAAAATGGGTAAAAATTAATTAAGAAACTCGAATTTTTACTGAAAAGGGTGCCGGAAAACGGAGGGAAATCGATAACAAATATTCGCTAACTATTTATTAATAATAATTAGTAATATTAGTAATAAATTATTACTTTTCTCCGAAACCAAGAAGCGGATATCTTATTAATCTTTTCTTAAATGCATAATTGCGAATACTACGGTACTTTGAGCCTACTTTAAATATTACCGTATTCACGCCATCGCGGTTGGGAAAGTGAAAATCGCGCGCTTCGTCGCACACAAAAGTTGGCTGCGTGCCAGATTCGAAAATTTTGAAACGTGTTTTGAAAAAACGTGAAGTTAACCGTTGTTGAGTCGCTACTCACCGAAACGCCGCGACGTGACCGCGCTACACGTCCAAACTTGGCGCGCTTTCCAATTTTTAAATCTAGGTTCCCTTCCGCGAGGTCGTGAGTATTTCCTATAATAGAAGCCCACCCTCCGACGTGCTTGGAAACATAGAAGCTCACCCTCTAACAGAAGTTCGTGCAGTTCAGTTAGTGTAGCTTATACATTAAAGTTCGTGTATTTGGTCATTCCCGACATTTTCTTTCATTGTTTTAAATGTCGGAGAATTTCGGTTTCATGGGCTTCTCTTAGAGGACATGCGGTATTTTCCTATTTTCTCCATTTTTTTGGCAATTTTCGCCGTTTTTCGATAATTTTCAGCGTCCTAAATCTTTTTTTCCTGATTTACATCGATAAAACGATGAAAATCGTAGAGAAGCTGAGACAATATGTGTATAATGTTTAAAATAGGTTCAAAGTACGGTAGTATTCGCTCTTGCGGCGTTATCCACTATTCAACGAGACAAGAATAATAGTTTTTGTTCCGTCGATAGCTGGTCCTAAAGAGGGAGCCTTTTTTCAACCAAATTCATGCGCCTTCAA